AAAAAATAGGTGGAAGAGATGTAAACCAGCCAATTCTCTGCTGCATTCGTGTTTATTGAATGCTTCTGTTACTCTGTGATGCAATTAATCATTGTTTCGGTCCATAAATGAAATTTTTAGGATATTTTGTCTGACATGTGTATATGTTTTTATATTTTAAAAATAGAGTCTTTGACAGTTTTGTTTCTAGGTCAGTGAGGTGAAAGGGTTAAAAAAGAACTTTATAAACCCACTCTATTATTCTGGAGCAAAAACATACTACAGGTACACTGATTGTCCCAGCTGTAAAAGAAATACAGAACTTGCTATAGGTGTTTGTGAAGTGTTGTAACATATCTTAGGCTGTGGCGCAATGCGACGGGTTGGCATAATGTGACGGATTGGCTATTTCCCTTCCTGTTTGCCAGACAACTCTGAAATTTAGTGCAGGTTCTGGGTCTCAACTTTAGGAGAAACAAGAACTGAATATCAAACTGATGGGTGGGAAAGTGCAGAAACTGTGCCTAGCTGTAAACCACAACATAATATTCCCTCTTATTAAGGGTGAATGCAAAGAAAGAAGAAGTGAGGCTAGAATGACTAAAGAGTTGTACCCCTGAACCGGGACCAAAGTTCTGATAAGCAAATAAACTAATGACTACAATTCTGTGCCAACTGTAAATAAAATTAAGTAAATGACCCATTTTCATGCTCTGAGGCAAACTGGGCACATGGCTGCTAGTCGCATATTTATGTACAGGTAACGTGGTCAATATCTCACTCGCTAAATTTACTGCCTAGACAGTTCCTACTATCTATTTTAAATCCACATTGATGAAAATTCAAACATTTAACCAAAGGACCAGCATGCAAGATATTGGTGTTTCAGTTGCATACTGGTCATGACGGCATATTTTTTACTGTTCCCGCCAGCAGTAAACCCCAGAAAGAAAAAAAAAACAGTAAATACAATAATTATTGATTTCTACAAGCATGTTATAACTGTAGTTAATGATAAAACTTAACTGAAGCAACAACAAAATTAGTAAATATAAATAATCTGTGATTATGAGAACAAATTGTTTTATTGCAGTGTGAGCAAATAAACAAATTAATCACCACTTTTTGCCATAAAGGGATGGATTTCCATTGTGAGTTTAGCATCTGCAACATACAGATATCATGTCAATGGACAACAGTGCTTATACTTCCCTCTAAGCACATTCCATTGTAAATAAGTAGAGCAGGACTATTCAACTTAGTTTACTCAGGGGCCAAAATTATGAAAATAGAGATCCTTACGGGCCAGAAGTCTGAGCCCAAGCATAGAAAGATCATTCATACAATACACTTGGCAATGATCCGCAGGCCACTTGCTAGACCTTTGTGGGCCAAATTTGGCCAGTGGGCCGCCAGTTGACTAGCTCTGATGTACAGTATGTATGTAGTAATGTAAACATTAAAACAATTCTTTCCTGCCTCTTTGTACCATTTGTTTAACCCTTTCGCTGCTATGCCCTCCACCAGCCAACGTAACCACTGTGCTAAGCCAGGCGAGAGCTAATTTTTCCTCCTGTGCTGAATACCGTTTTTCCCTTCAAAAGCAGAAGACGCGCTTGCGGTGCGGGGTAAAAATTGTACACCAAAAATAAAAACTCTGAAGGCGTGTGATTGAACTTTGTACTGACAAGTTAGACGCGCTATTTCTACGCCACGAAAATAAACATGGGCGTTCTCAGCAAACAGTCTTTGGTCCAGTACTCATTTATTTTGAGTTTCTTTGTTCTGGGTATGAGCAGACACACAGCAAAAAAACAAAATAATTTGTCTAAATCTGTGTCTGTCCATCTGCAAAGAAGAGAGCTTACGGTAGCAGGTCCCTTTTCAATGACATACTTGCTGAATCTGTTACATTCATCTGCGATGAAAGTCACCAGCGATTCAGTGAAAAAAGTTTTTTTAAAATCAAGCACTGAGCTGTTTTTATTCACAGCAGCTAAAAGACAACCAGAGCTGGAGTTATCAAACGTATGCACATCGGGTCGCAAGTTGTTGGAAGTCCAGGATAGCTGATCAATTTTATGTCGTTTTGATGGCACTTCATCATTACTAACTTCTGATTCCGATGATGATGTGGACGTCGGACATGCAAACAACCTTTTCTCGGCCACGCTGGTTCGTCCCGTCGATGTCAATGGAACAGTAAGATCGTCCTGATCACTATCAGAACTGCACATTTCAAAGTCATCTTCGCTATCACTCCTCGAAAGAAAACTCCATCAGTTCTTCGTCAACTTCAACAAATTGTCTTTCCATTTTGTATGAAGGAAATGTAGACTTATCCAAAGACACAATATTGCACGGTAACAAATGCACAGTACACCAACCACACTTCACAAAGGAACAGGATAACGTGTAAAGCATCTAAATCCACTTGAACGCTCGTGATAGGATGTTTAATTCATTATTACTTCGGTGATCTGTTGCCGAAAATGCTAAGAGCTTAAATTTAAAATTTACATTAAAAATAATAATTTTTTAAAAAAAGGCACGTAGGGGTAGAACGCTGGATCTTTCGATTGTAAGGCAGACGTGATACCAACTATACTAGAAATTCACATGAAACTATGAACTGAAAAAAGACCAGTATTGTGCACTTTAATAGACAAACACATTTATGTCAGTTGTATAGTATATTATTACCATTAATATTAACCAACATGCCAGTACGTGACCATATCTTTATTTTGATTATTTGGGATCTATTTCAAATCCAATCGATGTAGATAACTAGGTCATATGGTCACTGGTCAGTCTTGCTCATGGCCAGAAGTACACGTGTCCGCTGGCGTGCCGCGAAGATAACCCAGCTCATATAACTCACACGTTTCAAAGTGATCCTTACTATCACTCCTTGAAAAAAACTCCATTAATTCTTCTTTAATTAACTAATGTTCTTGTTATTTTGTATTTTTAAAAAAAATTTAGACTAACGCAAAACCAGAAATATATTTCAGGGGTAAAAAATTACCGTTCACCGACAATGCTTCTATGGTAACAAAGCAACATTTGCAGTCCCACAAACAATACAGGTTGTGATTTACATTTATGGTTAAGACATTCAAACAAAACAAAAAAAACTCTCATCACTCTCAATCTGACACTTTTGAAAAACTGCAAATTTTGAGTTGATCAAAGATATTTGAGTGGTCATTAATAAATTTTTTTTAAAGGCACAGCATGTGAAATCCAATGTCAAAACAATGTCAACTGCAAGCATCAATATTGCTGTGCTACTGCATCAACATTGATAGGCTAGGTCATTCCTAGCATCTTTCCCTGCGTAAATGCTGAATTCTACAAAACAGACTTGCAATGCCTCCAAAAACACCTTATAGACAACCTCTTCAGAAGTGTACTGGTACTTGAATTCTGCATAATGACAATCCTCTGCCCATAAGTCAGTCATCACAATTTAAAACAAAAAATAAATTTTTTGGCAAAGGATATTTCCCTGCTTTTACAGATGTTTCCAGATCTTGCTTTGAATGACATTTTGTTCCTACAGCTTAAGAAAGTCATGAAAGGTCACCAACCTCATGTCATTAGATGCAAGCTCTTCAAAGGTTTTAATGACCCAAATGTCACGGCATTGACCTTAAAACTCAGTCTTCTAGAACAGTAGTTTCAATCAGAAAAGAGCATGGGCCACATATATTTGTGATTGACTGTCATGAATTCCCTACCTTTTAGTTCTCATATAAAACAGAGTAAATCTTTATTACAATCACAAAATTAGAGGGTAGAGGGTTACTGTTATTCCCTGAATGATTCAGCGGACTCCCAGGGGTCTGCAGACTACCAACTGGGATTCACTGTTCTACATGATGCACCAACTAACCGAGATGGTCAAAGCAAAAAAACAAAACTTTGCTGTATGCTCTCTATATGTGAAATATATCCATTTAATGTAATAAGAATTCCCATCCCAATATAAAGAATAACTTTAATCACTAGGAACGCGATGAGACACGTGACCTGTCCAAGGTGATTTTATTGTGGCTGCTAATGTTATAGAACGGCATATCTATTATTATCCTTTTGTTTACGTATGGACCGGTGAAATACCTTTTGTAATATTTTTACGTGTGTATAGCTAACTTACTGTGACCGAGTACTTCCATCAACAATAAATTGCATTTCTGGTGGTGACGGTTGGCTTTGGCACCTTTAGCAACTGCGATATGCATTTACTGCGTGATCATATTTGTGGATTGTGCCGGGACAATTGTTTGTTCACCAGTTTTTCAAATGGAATGGCAAGTGACATGTCATTTGATTTTCATTGCCGCAGGAATGGAGCAAGTAAGGGATGACCTGATTGCAGTAAAGTTGAAACCTCGACTAAGACTAATTTCTTATTATCACAATGGTAATAGTTATAGCAACATTTGTGGTAAAGTCAAATCAACCTGGGCCTCATTCTCTAGACTTTCAACTGAAGTTTTAACATTTTGTGAACAAGTATCAATTATTTCAACATCATCATCCTCAATGACATGTTACGGATTACAAAATCCAGGTAAAATATAAACCTGATTCTAAATACAAGTGAGTAAAGAATATAATGGTCAGATTTCCGAACCGATACACAAATAAGGCAAGAATCCAGGCAAGAGTATGTGTCTAATTTTATACGAAAACGCCGCTGGAACTATGTCGGCCACGCCCTTAGAATGGATAAATCAAGACTTCCTCACCAAGCCCTCATTTCAGGGGAAAAGATCTCGTGGAAGACCAAGGGAAACCCTACGTAGAACTATCATCAGGGAAGGCTCACTCATGGGCCACTCAAACATCCAAGACCTACAACAGATTGCAACGAACCGCCATGCATGGAGAGTCATGACCTCTGCCCTATGTGCCGCACTCGACACAAGAGGAAAGACTAACTAACTAAAGAATATAAAAATTCAGTGAAATAAAGCCAGTAAGTGGTCAATAACTGTAACAACTGGTACCTGTTCGGGCGGATTCATGTCTCCATTGTTGAGCAATTCCCCGGGACGCCTCTGGTTCAGCAGTATGTCAAACAATATCAGAGAGCCTGTTCCAGACAAATATGTGACAAAGTTCAGTAGCAGTTATCACATCTTGAGCATCTGGTTATCATCAACTCCAAATACTGGCTTCCCAACTCTAAGAGTTAAACAGGTGCTTCCTTTGATGTATCCAGTTTAAAACCGAACAATGGGACACTGGTTTTGTACCAGATCCGTCACACTGTCAAGGTTTAATTATATAATCATCTCTATCAATGCTGTAAAGGATTAATGACCCAGCTGGGTACCAGTTAATATCATGGGAAGCAAAAGTGTTAACATCATCCTGAGTGCCGACTGGTCTGTTAATATATGAGTCTAGTATTACATGCCTGATAAAAAAAAGATCCTTTATTTACTTGACTTACTTACAAAGTATTTTAAACAAATCATTAGCAGTAAAAAATGTAACTTTATGACAGACATACCATGTCATAAATACAAGAACATAACTTAAGATGGCTGAGACAAGAAGACTTGGTGTGAGTAATTTCAGGGCCTATATGCCATGAGAAGCTAAACAAAAGAAGTAGTTCAATATAAACATTGAATAATGTAGTACCTACCCAAACTGTGACCTATGACAGAGACATCACCACTAAACGATCCATTCCGTTCCAAGAAAATGTGAAACATTCTGTTCATTTCATTGCCGACTGTATCACAGATTTTCTAGGGAGATAATATTTTGTTAGTTATATTTGTTTTGTCTCTAAAACAAACATGATAACTGTATGGCTGGGCAAATGACTGAACATACTACAATTGACATAAATGTAAACCTAATGTGCATAAAGAGAATTACTCAACACAAAGCATTCACATTACTAATACAGGATGCCTATGTGGTACTGGGGAAAGCAAAGGATAGTGGTGCTAAAATATTCTTTATTTTGCCACTGCTTTTCAGATTAGAAAGCCAAAGATCTCTATAAAGGCTGTGGTGAGATACATGTTCACTGATCAAAATAGCTCAATTTTCAGCTGAATGCTAACTGGGATCTCGCTAATGGGATCTTGCTTCCATATGTAGCGAGCATTTCTGCAGTACAGGTTCAGTATTCTGGGGTGCATGTCCACATGGGCAAAGTTCTGAGTGCTCCATCTCTCTTTCTCTCTTTTGTTGTACCCCACCAGGATATCACGCAAGCGATAAACACCCGGTGACACCAAGTGCAACCATGCCAATGAGGATCACCCATGGAGAGGTCCCAGAAACCCTTTCAGTCGTTATGCCATATTTATAAAGTGCCCCATCTTCAACTTCCTGTACATATGCTGGGGAGTCAGTTGCACTGCAATCTGACAAGCAGGTCGTAAGAAGTAAATTATGACTGGTCTTCAGTATGGCTACACATTGTATCATCATGTCTTTCTTAAACAGTGATGAGATGACTATCATTATAATAAAAGAGAAAAGACACAATCATCCTATGATATCTTTATTCCTTCTTAGCCTTCACTGGCTGCAAACACCGGTGGAAAGTTCTGGTTGTTCGTCCATTTCTTGACTTTAGTCATGTTCCAGGACTTGAGTTTGGTGCACATATCTTTTTTACACATCTGGCTTATTCGTATGCAGACTACTGGTTCCTCACTTCCCAGACAAATACACTTAGAAGGTAATATCGACCCTGTGTATGCTGTCCACTATAAAGATGGCCAAACAGTATACTGCACAATTTACTCCTAGCACATTTGGCTGTATCTTGTCAAACACATTGCGACAGACTTTACAATCACTACATCAACATCTACTGAAGGTCAAACACTATTGCTTTTAATTGAGATACACACATCAATCTCTTGTTTCATTACATCATCTCACCACATAAATATATAACACATTGTGCAATAAACTGTTAGTGTCCTTATTTAAATTCACAAAAGGAAAAATTTAAACAGACAATATTTGGCCCTACCTGACAGAAAAGTGGGCTGGTGTAAAACAGTGTGTCTATCAGAGTGTTGTTGATAAAATGGCGCAGCTTGGAAGTACTGGGGAGTGTTACAAGTCCTATCTGCCTGCAGAGAGAGAAGGTACAATAATGGTTATATAAGAAATAATAGAAAGCCAGATAGTACAAAATGTAAGAGAAAATTATACAGCATTCCAAAGAAAACTGGTGTGGTTAACAATAGCAATTGAATTTTTGGCTGCTGAATTATAACAAAAAACAGCATCAAAATTCTCTGGATGTCAAGCTGTTATTATAATTAGAGTACCTGACAGCTTCCGCAAAAAACATTTCACTGAAAAATAAAACATGCCCGAAGCTTATCAGCCTTTGGCCGTCAGCTGTAACCAGGGCTTTGTAAAGGTGGTGCTTTTTGTCTGTGGTGAGGTAGGACCTCACTTGTAGCTTTATGTCTGTCTGCAACAGTCAACAGTGCAAGGAGGTATCAACACATACTATTACAGTATCTCTTGTACAACCCAGGATCACCCACAGGGCTTTATTCTGTATGCATTCAAGCTTCACCAGCTAAAGTTTGTTGTAGTCGGCAGTCACAGTTCCTAATCCAACACTGAGAAGATCAAATGCTAGTACACTGAAGATAAAATGCTGGTACACTGAAGATCAAATGCTCGTAAACTGTGAACAGCTTTCTTTGCTCCATGTCCATTACTGCCAAAATTGTCCTGTTCACTCAGCCCTTGCTGTCATTTTTTGCAATTGTCTCCCTATGGTTCATGAAGGAAAGGCTTCTATCAAAGGTGAAACCCAGGTTTGTCAGTTTGCTTTCACCTTAGATGTACCAATCATTAACTGTGAGGCTTGGGACATCAACTCTAACACTCCTACTGTTCAGCCTTTTCTGTGTTTCTGTACACCGACGAGTCACTCTGTCCACTGTTGTCTATCTCTCCACTACCTATGTGAGAGAATATAATCTGCAAATGTCAATCACCAGGTGCTTTAAGTTCTGCAATCTTGTTTATATACACATTGAAGAGCTTTAGTGACATTGTATATTTATGTGGTAGTCCCAGGGTGATACGGCATGGCTCTAAGACCCATGCATCCAGTCAAAGGGCAACCATACTATAGCAGCTGTCATGTCATATTTTTTAACAATAAAGAATTAAAAACAGTACAACTATGGGAAGAAGAGGTTAAAATAGCATTTTTGAATTAATGTAGTGACTTTAAAACTTGAGAAATATATAGCATGTAAAGTGTCATCAATAAATGTACAGGGGGCTGCCTGTTACTGAATCACAGACACCAGCTGAAAAACAGAGGTCTTTCTTCTATCAGTTTTCACCAATATTACAAAGGAAATATTTCAATCTTTACAAATAAAAATGTTTGTAATTAACTAGTCTATATGTTGCCAACCTGATATCACTGTGGTAAATTCTATAAAGTGTACTCTCCATTTTGTCTGACTCATTACTCCAGAAAGGAATTCACTAATACCAGCAATGACTAGGAAGACTCAACAGGTGGGAACAGAAAGAAAATGTGTACAGAATGTTTCTTCATCACAATGAGTAATACAACAAGGCTAATAGTCATGACTAGCGGCATCTCTTTTCTTAATATTGCCAACATTATTGTACCCATGTCTGTATAAATTGTAGCCTCCATTTCTGGAGTCAGTCAAGAAAAATATTTTGTTCATGCCACTGGCACATCTGGCATACAAGGTCTAACAATTAAGCAATCAGACTGATTTTATTATGGCGAAGACAAAAATGCCATCTATGAAGCAAAGTATGGAATCTAAAGAGGCAACATTCATGTATGATATGGCAACATTTCATCACCGCTCGATAAGCAGACAAAAAAAAAAAAAAAAAAGCTGCCATTTTTTTAAACTAGTCAGAGGTGCATTGTTACATAATCAACAAGGAGCAAAAAAGCTAACATTAAATTCTTTTTAAAACTCAGAAAAAGCGCCATTGAAACAGTCAAATTGATACAACAAGTTTATGGGGATAATTGTTTATTTCATGCAAAATTGAATATTTCTGGAGTAATTTTTAACAAATGTATGAATAAACATGTGATCTCACTCTTTTAATCCCACAGTGCCATCCTGCAGTGCTTGAGTCCAAACAACAGGCAGGAATTCTACTCTGTTGACAGCATGTGACTGAAAAGCCTGAGGGAAATGTGAGTTTAGCAGCAGCAGGGTATTGCTGCGGAGGTCATCAACTGAAAACATAAAACATCATTTATTTTAGTATTTATGTTTTGAGACTTTAAGCAACAGTTAGATGGTCACCTGCTAGCCTAAAGATTTAGAGCTAATATCTGTACCATGACTGTTTTTTGTTGTTGTCAAAACTGCCCGTCATCCCCAGGGCGACTCAGCCTAAATGGGTACCAGTCAGGGTTTCAGGAAGTAAATTGGGTGTAATGTTAACCACATCATCCAATCTATCATAAGCTGTAGAAGTCAACTAATTGGGGAATTCCTTCGAACTTGGAGTATATATGCCCGAGCAGCAAGAAACAATCAGCACACAAGCCAGATGTACACGCAAAATTCAGGTCCTGGCACAAAGCCTTAATGGACGAACAACAAGGGCTTTCCGCCAGAGCTTACAGTCGGTGAACAAAGAAGAAGCATTTTGCGGATGCTGGACAGGTTAGCAATTTAAAAATTTTTAAAAAAAGTGTTTGAAATCACTTCCTGAAATTTTATTTTCAACAGCTCTATGAGACATACACAAAAATAGAACACAGAATGTTAACTACTGAAGGTCTACAATAATTTAACCGTTAAATCTTTTAAAACACCAGAAACTGTTCAAATGCGATAACAACAGACATAGTAGTGTTTAGTGCACCAACAACTGTGATAAGGTGCTTTGTATGGTCTACACATGTACAGTGTGGCAAGCAGAGAGTCTGTGCAACAAGCGACTGCATGAGATACTTGGGGCTGGTCGAGTAAGCGAAGGAAAGCCCGAGCTGGACTCGTGGTCAGTTGCTTATCAGAAGTAGTAGAAGACAGTTGTGTTTATAGAAGATATAGTTCTAATGTCATGTGAATGATCAGTTTAACAGGTCGGAAGTGTAAAAAATTGTTGGAGTATATTGAATAGATGCAATAGAAAAAACTGACAGCATGTACAAGGAAGCATAGGGGCGTTCGTGTTATCAATCTTAGACAGTAGAAGCAGTGCGACTAGCAACAGTACTACAAGCCAGCTATATTACGAGCCAGCAAAATTACAACAACCATAATTTTTTTTGTCTTTTATCCCTCTTCCTTGAGCTCATACATTCACCAAACACACAACTGTTTAGCATATGCAATGAACACTCACTCCTGGTGATGCCTGATAAAAATACAGAAACTTACCTAAAGCCTCAACTGACTTTCCTTTGTTATTAAACATGTCTTCAATTCCTGGCACAACGAACACAAGATGATCAACTTCTTCTCGTTCACCTATGTGAAGATACACATTCATTATTACTTATATATCAGCTTGAATAACTGAAAAACAAAATTAATATTAATATCAAAGACAGGGATCAGGAGCAAATATACAATTAAAATCAATGGTCTTAATTTAGGACAGTACAGAAATTCAAGTATAAAGGCACATGGATAAAATAAAATGGCAGACATATCATAGAGATAAAGAACAGAATAGGTCAAGCAAAAACTATTTTATAAAATGAAGACACATATAACACAGACATTTTTGTAACACATACAACACATGGTTGTGAAAACGGACAATTAGAACACAAGAAAAAACTTACTTCAAGACTATAGAATTTTAATTTTGCAGGAAAAAGTACAAATAACATATACAGCAAAAACAAAATATCTGTACAGGAAAAGATTAAAACACAAAAACAGTTTACTGCAAACAATAGAAAGAGACAATCAAAATATTCTGGCTATGTAAGAAAAACTCTATAAACATGTTAAACACTGACAGGCTTAAAAGAAACTAAATGCTAGAGAAAGACAGCAAAATAAGGTCCTCAACATTCTTTTATGGCATGAAAAAAAATCATATAAAAAAAAACTAAAATAATTTTAATACTGTTGATGATTGTCAATACTGCAGGATTTGGGCGGGGGAGGGGTTGGGGTTGAGGGTGTTTGCAATCAAGTGAACAGGAAGAAGACAGTGAAAAAATGGAGGGATAACATGAAGATAAGCAAACAACAGACTCAGAGCGTGTGGAACCATAGGGAGAGACACAGAGCAGCCAGCTTTCATCATGAAGATGGCACTTGATTGATTTATCGAAAGGTCATTTTGTTTACCTTGTTCAATGGTTGCAAAGTCTTCCACACCTCTCTTCACTACTCTTGGTCGCATCTGATCACCCTGAAAGTTAAGAAGATAAGAAGGAACAATGAAATACAATAAACCAATGGTTGTTATTAGTATTATCATAGGGCACATCTATTACACTTTTAAAGGAAAGTGGCTGGCTGAATGGTTAGAATGCTGGAAATAAATTTTTTTTTTAAATGTCTCAAGCTTAAGATCCTACTTACAACATTAAAAGTGATATATGCAGATGGGAAAGAGTTCTATTATGACTGTGTTTATCTTTTACTTGTTATATCAAATGGTTAACTACTAATGGCATGCACACACAAACAGAAAAAAATCCTTACAGTTTCAACAAATTGAGAAGACTGCAAGTAACTACTGCTTTAACAAATAAATGGGAGACTGCCTATGTTACTGTCTCAACAAATAAAGGGGAGATTGCCAAACACTACAAACTGTAAATCTTAAGGAGAAATAACAAAATAGCAAACAATAAAAGAGGCTGCTTATAATTAATTCCTATGCATGAAAACCTAAATAAAACTAGTTTTCATTTACTGTTTTTATTCTCCAAAGTGAAGAGATCTGAATATGCTGCTGAGGCTGGATGTTGGAAGAAGAAAAAGGACAATCATCCCATTACTCCAGACAAATCCATGTATGTTCCAATCTCAGTAGCTTCACAAGAGTAAAATCACTGATCATGCCTTCCTGTTTTAAATGTTATAATTGTTTAAAACCTGGAGGTAACGAGGAGGATCTCAGCTCAATTGCAGAAACTCCGTTGCAACAGCAAGAATCCTTTACTGCCATATTCACAGATGGCGTACACCATGTGTCAATGTCACTGTTGCAGACATGCCAGGTGGCACGCTTTGATTCCACTATAAACACACATTAATTACACAGCACATCCTGTTTTTAAATGGTAATGGTCATATGGGAAAACAGAAGACACTGGAACTTTAAACAACACAAGAATGGGAGTCGAAGAACCCAGGTATAGAACAAGGAAGACTCGTGTGACTTTTTAATAATCCCATAACAAATTCTAACACTAGGGTGTAAAGTGTAGGCCATCACATATTCTAGGCCATGACATAAGGTGAGGGCTGTCGTTTCCCTTTCCTTGTCACCTTTCTTCCCAAAAAAGTCTGGAAAGTAGCTGGTCCATATTTTATGTGGCTATGTCAACCCCAGAGATGCACACGTCACATTCATAATTTCTCTATGTGGGTTCTAGGGCCCCATTTTGAAAAGGAAAGGGGGAAACAGACCCACCACACTCCTAACAAATACTTCATTCGTAAAAAGCAACTAATTAAGGGTGTTATTCCTTCGAAGTCAAAGTTCATCTGCCTGAAAGACTAGAAACCAACAGTCTGCATACAAATAAGCCAGACATGTAAAATAGAAGTCCATGCATGCAAAACTCAAGATCTGGAACAAGACTAATGTCCAGAAGTGGGCGAACAACCAGAACTTTTCACTGTAGTCAACAGCTGGTGAATGCCAAGAAGAAGTAGTTGCCTATGCATCACCAGCAGAAGGTATAGGTAGAACACATAAATAACCCCAATTCTTGCTTAAACAGTTTGTAACTGGCAGAAACCAACACAAATGACTAAATTAACTTTTCCTAGAAACTTGGTGATATTTGTATCTAATGTATCAGCAAGTTTAACCTTATGATCTGTTGAATAGAAACCCTCTTTATTTAGTGTCAGTCAGTCAGTAGCCTGTCCTTTGCAGAACCTTGTTCCCATAACAACCGTCCTTAAAACTTCTCAATCACAAGCAAGATGTCCCTCGTCCGATACACCCATCTGGAGATCATCCGCCACATCCTGCACCAATCTTCTCTTTGGCCTTCCTCTTCCTCTCCTCCCAGGCATATTCCCTTCCATTATTGTTCTCTCCAAACTTTGGCAACATTTCAAGTGACCAAAATTTTTCACTTTTCTGTGTATTTTATCATCTTTAATAGCCAACCTTCTTCAATATTCAGTTCTTGAAGTATGGATGCATTTGTTCTTTTCTTTACCCATGGTATTCTTAGAACCCGTCTATAAAATTTGTATTCAAAGGCATTTTTCTGCTGTTCAGCCTGTTTAGTGTACAGAAACAAAGCTGACATACTCAGAAGCCTCACAGTTTCATAAGATTGCTGTTAAGCAAGCAGATGTACACAGGTCATATGGCAGATTATATGCTTTCCTTCTTTTCATAACAGAGAATACAAATATTTGTGCTTACGTGTACATGATCATGCACACTATGCATAAATACAGATACATGAATATAGCAACTGAACTTGCACACTTCACACGCACACAAACTTAGCTCACAGCACTAAACTTGTAACAAATGACAATTGACAGTTATCAGATCTGCATCTATTTATATTCCTAATAAAAGAGTACTAAAAAACAAAGTAGCCAGTGAATCTAATATTACTTATCTATCAGCAACAAGCTTCTAGTTATCAAATATCAACATTAATATATCAGTAACATCAAACACATCAGTAATGCTCAACAAGTTATCAGTGACATCAAACACTCTAATAACACTCAACAAGTTATCGGTAACATCAAGAAAATTATAAATGGCATCCACTAGGATAACAGAAGCATGCATGCAGAAATACAACCACGAGAGAGACACTTATAATACAGATCATGCCAGTGAAATACAATAGTAATGCAACATCCAAAAGCATAGAGACATCTGAGAAAAACATTTTACTGTATACAAATAATGTTCAATGAGATTAATTCAAGAAAGCAATCAGTTACATTTCTGGCAACCACTTGTATCAACAGTTATAAGAACAAGAAGATAAGATACTGAGAAAAAGGAGCCGAATAAGGAAACAGGCATTAAAATTAAAAATAAATGGACTGAAGAAGTGAGGACATCCAAGAAAAAACCTACAATGAACATTGATGAGAAAGGCTACAGATGCAGAAATAGATTCCATACATAATATAAAAATTACTGCATAGAAAATAATAGAATGAAGAACAGAAACAAAGCCCTATAGGAGGTATAAATCGCACAAGATATGTTTTATGCCTCTGAAAATGAAAATTCTGACTAAAGTCATGATCCTTTTTTTTTTTTATTTCTTTTTCTAGTGTTAGCCGGTGTTTAAATGTTGTTATTAGGCTGGGTGGTCTCAAGACAGGGCGTCTGCCTCGAGGGCTGAAGGTCCCAGGTTTAGGCCCCAGGTGAAGGCTGAAAAGTTTTCACGTGGACTTCTGGTAATTTCCCCTGGTCTTTGGGTAGTAAGATCGGACGCCCTTGTGCATTGTTGTGCACATTAAAAATCTCTTCGCAGTTGGAAATCGAAAAGAGTAGCCTAACGGCGCTGCCAGGCAAACTTTGGAGTTAAAATTCTAACCAAAGAATTTCAGGATCCTCGCCAGTGCTAGGGAGCTCGTGCACTAGGCTGAGATTCTTCGGACTCAGGCTTGAGTTAGAAGCAGAATGGAGCACTCATGGGTTACTACACTTGTGCCATGGTGTTGATTCATTGTTTAAACCTAAACCCAGCTGCTGTGTTGACTTAAGTAGCAATCCATTTGTGTGTCAAACATTGCTTTAGCAAAGTGGTTTGCAAAGGGTTTTGTCTGGTTGTTTTACGAGGTCTGTCCACTTTCACCAGCCGTGCGGTCACTGGTTAATGTTGATTTTTTTTCCATTTCCGATGGTCAGGTGCTGTGAGCCTGATATTGTAATACTTGAGAACCAACCAGTCTGCCTTATCTCCTCTTCCCTTGTATTAAGCCCAAAATTATGGTACTGAATATGCTTTTATATATTATTTTATATCTACACGACATTTTGAAACTTTTAAAATAACTGTTGTTAAAACAAGGTTTGGAGTTGCCAATGAATGTAATTAACTGACTAAATAACTGTTAAGAATGAATGGTTATTGTTTGAAAATGGCCAGTTTATTTTCAAAAGTCTAAAGAGTGCGAGTTCTTTTAAAGCAGTAGCTCTCAACCTTTCTAATGATGAGACCCTCTAATACAGTTGCCTCATGCTGTGGCCACCCCCAAACAAATTATTTTTATTCATAACTTCAATGAATATGTGTTTTCCGATGGTCTTAGGTGACCATGTGAAAGGGTGGCGACCGGCAGGTTGAGAACCGCTGTTTTAAAGGGTTGATGGTGAGAGAATCCGCTGTTATTAAGTATGTTTGTCAGTCGAGTTGATTGAATAGACATAAATCTGTATTCATGCAACATGATAGCTCAGTAATTTCATTTCAATCATAAAAGTGATACATCAGGAAAGGCTAACCTGGGCAATAAATACCTGAAGAAGTTAGACGTGTCTGCCGAAAGGCAGAAATCTGGCACATGCATAATGGCATAATGCATTTACAAATTTGTCCTTGAATGAACACAGAAGAAACTCTAAAGCAAATCTAAGAATGTAACAAATATCTTGCATTCTGATTACCTCTATAGTTACCCCAAAGATTGGTATGTATACATTTTAACACATGCATCTAAACCAGCAATCATAAAATTAAATAGATCAGACTTTCCCATCTGGTGGTTTGAAGACCTCTAGGGTTCAGTGGAACAAATGTAAGGGGTCAGTTATATCAATCCTCAACTTTAAAATGCCATTTGTTTCCCACCTATTCTTCTTCTTAGTGTTCACCTGGCGGAAAGTTATAGACTTTGGACTTGTTCCAGAACTTTTATGTGCACATCCATTTTACAGATCTGGTTTATTTCTGTAGAGCAGAGGTTCTCAACCTATAGGTCACAATGATTATTTTTGGTCGAAAGACCCTTGAACAGTGGTCGCCAAAGACCACTGTAAAACAAATATTCATTTTAGTTATGAAGTAGCGCCGAAAAAAAACTGTATGGTTGGGGGTCGCCACAACATAAGGAACTGTATAAAAGGGTCATGGCATTAGAAAGGTTGAACACCACTGCTGTAGAGACAGTTGCTTCATTGCTTTTTGGGTAGATGTACTTAGGCCTTCAAAAGAAACTCCCCTAATTGGTCACCCTGTGTGACATTCTCCTTAGGGAAGCAGTGGATCTGTTCTCTAACACCCCCCCCCCCCCCCCCCCCCCCCCCCCCCCCCGACAAAGTAACCAGACCCTCACTGGGATTTTGCAATTCTAATATTTTTAAAGCTTCAGCCAAACTGCCATTACTGCCTGTACTTCTGTAATTACTACTTTCACCGTGTAGGCGGGGGGGGGGGGGGGGGGGGGGGGGGGGGGGGGGATATGAGGATTTAAGGCAGCATGGTTAGTGCTGTCGCCATGCTCTGTGCATGTTAGGGTATTTACAATGCCCCCGAGATTTAAAAAATCCCTAACCTTACCCAGGATTCAAACCTTCATCTCTCGAATAAGAGCCCTTTGTTCTTATCCGTTGGGCCACCTGCTCCTCAGTTCTTCGGCATGAATATTAAAAGTGCAGAGTCCGTGACAGATATCCCGAAAACAAAACGAGTCTGTAGGTCTTAGCTAACTGGAAACCACTTAACAAGAAAATACAGGGGATATAATCTTTTACATCACATCTCATAAACTGTAAAGGGTGAGTGGACAAAAACAACAAGCAAGCACTCACCATTATTGTATATACAGTCTATAATAACAGATTAGAAAAAAAAACTGTTAAACCTTGTATTATGTTAGAAATGAAAAAAAAAAATACAATAAATGTCTATTTAAAAGCATGCAGCTATAAATCTAAAAACATTAAAGAACTAGTGAATAACAAGAAGCCCCAAACTTCTAAGCATAACACATTGCTACTATAACTAACTTTTTTAACCCCTTCCCCGATTTTAAATATTGACACTTTATATAATTTCAAACCTCCAGTTGCATTAAAAAGTATTAACAATTATGAAACTTATGAAACTGTTTTAGTCTAGCACTGACTTTTACTGTTTCTACCCCACACAGAGATCAAAACTGTGCGCACAAAGGAGGTGAATGGGAGATGACCATGTGGCAGACCAGAAAGATGGAGAGATAATATACAGGCAGACACCTACAAAACTGGAGTCACCAAATTGATAGAGAAGGTGACTCAGAGAGATAATATACAGGCAGACACCTACAAAACTGGAGTCACCAAATTGATAGAGAAGGTGACTCTGAGAGATAATATACAGGCAGACACCTACAAAACTGGAGTCACCAAATTGATAGAGAAGGTGACTCAGAGAGATAATATACAGGCAGACACCTACAAAACTGGAGTCACCAAATTGATAGAGAAGGTGACTCAGAGAGATAATATACAGGCAGACACCTACAAAACTGGAGTCACCAAATTGATAGAGAAGGTGACTCAGAGAGATAATATACAGGCAGACACCCACAAAACTGGAGTCACCAAATTGATAGAGAAGGTGACTCAGAGAGATAATATACAGGCAGACACCTACAAAAACTGGAGTCACCAAATTGATAGAGAAGGTGACTCAGAGAGATAATATACAGGCAGACACCTACAAAACTGGAGTCACCAAATTGATAGAGAAGGTGACTCAGAGAGATAATATACAGGCAGACACCTACAAAACTGGAGTCACCAAATTGATAGAGAAGGTGACTCAGAGAGATAATATACAGGCAGACACCTACAAAACTGGAGTCACCAAATTGATAGAGAAGGTGACTCAGAGAGATAATATACAGGCAGACACCTACAAAACTGGAGTCACCAAATTGATAGAGAAGGTGACTCAGAGAGATAATATACAGGCAGACACCTACAAAACTGGAGTCACCAAATTGATAGAGAAGGTGACTCAGAGAGATAATATACAGGCAGACACCCACAAAACTGGAGTCACCAAATTGATAGAGAAGGTGACTCAGAGAGATAATATACAGGCAGACACCTAGAAAACTGGAGTCACCAAATTGATAGAGAAGGTGACTCAGAGAGATAATATACAGGCAGACACCTACAAAACTGGAGTCACCAAATTGATAGAGAAGGTGACTCAGAGTGATAATATACAGGCAGACACCTACAAAACTGGAGTCACCAAATTGATAGAGAAGGTGACTCAGAGAGATAATATACAGGCAGACACCTACAAAACTGGAGTCACCAAATTGATAGAGAAGGTGACTCAGAGAGATAAACTGATGCAGGTGATATGGACAGTAATAAATCTTAGTGAACTGGAATGCTGCTGCTGATGATGAAAAAGGAGGATAAGGAGAGGAAGAAGAAGACAAAGAAGATGAAAAAGAAATTGAAAGAAAGTGAAGAGGAGGAGGTAAAGAGGGAGAAGGAGCAGCAGCAGCAAAAGAAGGAGGAGGAGCAGCAAAAGCAGCAGAAGAAGGAGGAGGAGAAGAAGGGAGAGGAATTGAAAACAGAAGTTCATGTCTTGTAGTTCTGCTTTATAAAAGAAGTTTCTAACTTGCAGAATTCTACTTTATGACAGAATATGCTTGGGTCTCAAAGTGTAAAGACAAAAAATACTATGAGACAAGAAATGTAACTGTCTTTACAGAATAAAAAAGAGTAACAACTGTCTGAGAGAATAAAATTGACAGGATGCCTTCTTTGGATATCTATGATATGTATGTTGGCATGTTTGCTATAGAGAGAGAATATAGCAACTTTTTGAGATAGAATTAAGTTAGAAAAGTATGTACATTGGCCATTTATGAAAATATGGTGACAACTTTTTGAGATAGAATCAGTTAGAAAAGAAAAGTGAGTTCTTTGGCTATTTATGAAAATATGGTGACAACTTTCTGAGGTAGAATTCAGCTAGAAAAGTATGTTCTTTGGTCATTTATGAAAATATGGTGACAACTTTGTGAGATAGAATTCAGCTAGAAAAGTATGTTCTTTGCACATTTATGAAAATATTGTGACAACTTTGTGAGATAGAATTCAGCTAGAAAAGTATGTTCTTTGCACATTTATGAAAATATTGTGACAACTTTGTGAGATAGAATTCATCTAGAAAAGTATGTTCTTTGCACATTTATGAAAATATTGTGACAACTTTGTGAGATAGAATTCAGCTAGAAAAGTATGTTCTTTGCACATTTATGAAAATATTGTGACAACTTTCTTAGATAAAATAAAGTTAGAAAAGTATATGTTCTATGGACATTTATGAAAATATGGTTGACAACTTTCTGAGATTGAATAAAGTTAGAAAAATCTATTAAATGAATAGTGAAATGTTTGGTGCAGAAAGAGAATGTAGTAACTTTCTGAGATTGAATAAAGATAGAAAAATCTAGGAAATGAATGGTGAAGTTTGGTACAGAAATAGAATACGTAAATTTTCGGAGAGAGAATAAAGTTAGAAAAAGCGACGAAATGTATGGTGAAATGTTTGGTACAGAAAGAGAATGCAGTAACTTTCTGAGACAAAATACAATTTCAGGAGTATATTATGATGAGTTTGAAACTAAAAGAGTTAACTTGTGATTCTGAGAGTCTCACTTTGGGTTAATCAGTCCAAAGTTGCGTACAAGTTTTTTTAACAAGTCACTGCACCAAAACTGTGGCTTTAGGCTGGCCCTTAATCCTTGGAGCATTAAAGTGATGGTCTGTATTTAGCAGCTGTTAAGCCTGTAATCTAATTCTTAAGAATGGCACAATAATACTATCACGCAGTGTAAATAATGAAGTGTTAGTAACCACACATATACAAGCTGGAATGACCAGATGGCTTTCTAAAAAATCTTTGTCTTCAACGGCCTGACGGCAAATTTGTGTAAAATATGATCTGCTGGAATGACATAACAGCCAGGTGTAAAACTCACTAACCTGGGCACACAATTGCAAAATTCTTACCATCTAGCAGCTCAACAAACTGCTTCTTCATTTCATACAAAATAAATTTAATTTCAAAAAAATTTAACAGTGAGTATCTTTTAGGCGTTTTAGTGACCACCTCTACTGCACATGCATATGGAGATGCATATGGGGAGGGGGGGGTGGGGGGGTGGGGGGGGTGGGGGGGGGGGGGGGGGGGGGTGGGGGGGGGGGTGGGGGGGGGGGGGGGGGGGGGGGGGGGGTGGGGGGGGGGGGGGGGGTGGTGGGAGGGGGGGGGGGGGGGGGGAGGTGAGGATGTGAAATCGTACTATAAACTGAAAGAATAATTGTAAAAACTCTTTACCTGCACATTTCCCCATTCATCAGGGGTTGCTGATGCAGGGAACTGGACAATCACATTAGGATTGTGCATGACAATAACCACATCTCCAGGAAACTCCAGTCGACGATGCCACCCACCAGTCTCCATGGCTTTTTTGTATTCATTCTTGAGATACACATGTATAGTTTACTCAACGAGCTTCAGTAAAGTGACAGAATATGTGAGAGAGAGAGAGAGAGAGAGAGAGAGAGAGAGAGAGAGAGAGAGAGAGAGAGAGAGAGAGAGTGAGAGTGAGAGAGAGAGAGAGAGAGACGAGGAGGAGAGAGAGAGAGAGATTGTTAGTCTGCATACCTAAATGTGCATGTGTGCTTGTGTGTATGTGCATGGGTATGTGTGCGTATTATTGTTTAAATGAGAGAGAGAGACAGAGACAGAGAGAGAGAAAGAGACAGAAAGACAGAGACACAGAAGAAAAAGAAAGAGACACAGAGGGAAAGAGACAGACAGAGATGAGAAGGAAAGAGAGAAGAGGCATGGAGGAAGAGAGACAATTGTGATGAAAGAGAGGAATGCAGAAAGATTGAAAGGGGGGGGGGAGAAAGAATAAAAACAACAAACAAATATACTGTTTTCAAAAACAGGCTTGACTACTGAAATTAAATCTTACTTTTAAAATCAAACAAAAAACATCTTCTATTAATAAATCCAAAACACAAAGTAGAAATAACCTGCAACATCACTTGTTCAAGTAATAAATTCAATATACACTTAATTAATTCTTAATTTATATATTTTCTCACAAAAAAAACTTTTAAAAAATGTAACCACTGTTTAGAGAATTAAGCAAACCCAGTATTTACAAACTATGTTAAAAGTTATGAATGTACTTCACAGTCTCAAAGTACAGTTGTTATGTTTAATACTTAAAGAACCAGATATCTCATGTATAGCGTAGAATTGTTCTTTCTCAGTTGTCATATACTCGTTAAGCCTAAAGATCATTTTTTTTTAAATTATGATGATAGTAAACATCAGGGCTATTCAACTAAGTTTACTCGCTGGCCAATATGGTGAAAATGGGGATTGTCATAGGCCAGAAGCCTAAGCCTCAGCACAGACAGATCCTTAATACAATACCACTGGCAACAATCTGCAGGCCACATGCTAGGCCTATGCAGGCCCGATATGGCCAGCGAGCCACCAGTTTGAATAGCCCTGGTATACACAGAGTGTTGAATTAAGAATCAACACCACAGCACTCAGGACACTCCGATAACATTTCCAACCCCATCTTCAGCATTAAGTGAAGAGTTCCAACTCCAATGGCACCAGTAACTGTCTGATTGTACATCAGGAGCCAGATCCCCTGTTAACTCCTAAGCCCCATTCTTCTCAGACCATAATGATCTATTTCTGACTCCGCACTGTTCACTAGCTCCCAAAAGCCACTCGCAACATCTAACTTGTCATATATCAGTTCACCACCAAGTGGTGCAGACCCTGCCAGTCTATCTGCCTGCTCATTTCCCAACACACCGGCATGCCCTGGAGACAATATCCAAAGGATGCTTACCACTAAGTATGGAGAAGGATTGTCTCCACCTTTCTCAACATGCTCTGTGAGTCAGTAACAATCACAGCATGTGTGTACAGCTGATTCACAAGTCAGTGGAAGACAGTAGTGACTCCATTCTCAAACTAGATGTGATTTCATATGCCAGACTTTGCTGCACTAAGCAACATCTATTCACTTTTGCTATGAAACCCCATAAATTTCCTCTGCCTCTCAACACAGAGCCTTCTGTATAGATAATCACATCACCTGGGCAGGAATTTTCATGAATCATTTGTTTAAATTCTGATTCAATATACATAGAATATAAAGCCAATTCAATCGAAATTGTTATAACATTTAACACGTATGAAAAAATACAATTTTTACAACAACAAAACTGGTATTCTGCTCCTTAACAGTTATAGCAAATAAATGCCTTCACTGTGTCCCCATACATATGTTGAATTATATAAATTTAAGTTCTTACCTCCAGTTGCGCAGAAAATGTCTCGTCATATGGGATGTACCTGTTATCTCCTTCTCTCTTGAAGAACCAGGAACAGCGCCGAACAGGTACAGGAGAGTCAGTCCAATAAATAGGTGTTCGTACACGGAGGCCCACATTTACATCGTAACGCCCACCATTTGTCTGAACAATGGTATTACTGGGAGATTCTTGCAAGCCTAAAGTAAACATTTCAAGAGTTTCAATGTGGACTGTGTGCATAAACTGATGTTTACTAAAATCAAATACAGATAAAATATGAATGAATGAAGTTGGACCCAACACAAGGAGCAATAAAAACCTGGCGACAAAAAGCGCCATCATTTGGACAAGAATCACCTGGTCCTAAGTCCCAGAAAAACCCGTTCGACCGTAAGTTATATTAGGGCCCCCGACAACAGCCAGAGTGGGGCTTTAATATAACGAAAAATTGTGTCCATACTGGGACGGTAATTTAAATACAGCATTTGGCATAAAAATAGATGTTACCAAATCAATTAAAGCCATAGTACTCTTGTAAATATTAGCATTTTGTGGCAGTAATGGCTTTTTGATGACATGAGATGTTTGGGATGTGGCCTACAGTACAGCTGCATTACAGGTTGCAACTTCATATGTTGTTGTGATGTGTATGATTAGCTTTACTTCCTTGTGGGGGTTCAGGTGCCCCACTGTGGGGAAAACAATAATAAACCAACTGACTGGGGACAGTGTCACAGTGCATCTGCCTGAGAGGCAAGGATCCACAGGTCTACAAACAGATAAGCCAGATCTGTGAAATGGACGTGCACCCAACACTCAGGATATGGAGCAAGACTTAAGTCCGGCAGTGGATGAACACCCAGAACTTTCCGCAGGAGTTTACAGCTGGTGAACACAAAGAAGATGATTACCTTCACTAAACAAACAACATCATGGTCGAAAGGAATGAATTTATGTGCTCCACTTGTTTTTAGTGATTACTTCCCTTACTCAGAGGCCGCATTAGCGCAGTTGATAAGAGGCTCGCTTTCAAATCCAGCTGCGACTCGCTGCAGCCCGCGGTCGGCGATTGAAACCGGGCGGTTCCCAGCCTCTAGGAAATGGGTACCAGTGTTGACACTCTGGGGTAAATGGAGGAATGTCGCTGTAGCTACAGAGTTATGTGCGAACGGCAGACAATTCTTATCAGCTGTCCGTACTGGTGGCAGAGCACTTATGGTTTAAAACCGTGTGCACTGACGCTGGTTAACATCTCCCGACTTTACCTTTTACTTCCATTACTATTTTTAAAAAGCGGCTCTAAAAATGTTATTCCTTTTTTTTTAAAAGCAACTTGATGTTGCAGTGGCTATCATGATTTCCTATCTGCTCAGTGATCATAGGTTTCAATGCCCTAGATTTTTATAAAAACCTACCAAGAGCCCAAATTTCTTCTTCTTCTTCTGCTTCTTCTATTTTTTTCAAGTCTCTCACAGAGTAGAGTTTCACAGAATTACACGCATAATCTTGCCCCAATGTAGGAATCAGTTTTCATTTGTTATTTTAAAGCCCCATTCAGTGTAGTTGGGGGGGGGGGGGGGGTGGCCTAATATAACCTAACGGTTGAATGGGGCTTTAGGGACTTGTACCCGGGTGATTCTCATCCGAATAGTGGCACTTTATGTTAACAGGAGTTTATCGTTTGCCGTGGTCATGGTGGGGTTAAACGTCACTCATTCATTATAAGGATATGTTTCTGTGACGACACGCTCTGTGACTTCAGAATATGTCTTTCCTCAACCTACATTTTTTCTATGTATTTTAAAGTATACAGGAAAATAGGGATTTGGATACATCCTAAATATAAGTAAGGCGACCAGAACAAACATTTAATTCTCCTGGACTGCTGGTGATATCAAACACTGAGACTCTTTCCCAGATGTAAAGTGTTAAGGTACAGATAACACGACCCAGCAGGTAGACTTTGTGACACCAGTGAGACTGACCAGCTTAGTGGCTGGAGATTTTGCTTGCCAAACTGAGGTGTCAGATAAGTATCTCCTAGCCAGACCTTTAGGAGCAGATAACTCAAGGCTAATTGAGATTATCTCCCCCTGAGGTTACCCAACTTGAGTGCAGGCCAGATCGCCAGTATTGACATAGTCGGCTAAACGTGTTATCAGAAGAATTGGCAGGTTGAAGTAGGGGGGAAGGTGTGACTTTGTTTATGAGCTATGGTCAGTTTGATGGACCAGGAGAATGTAACCGTGGGAATTCAAACAAGTGTTGCAGTCACTGACTGACAGTGAATAGACTTACCCATGGGGAGGGGCTGTGACATCCTTGAATAAGAGTGGTTTTAGGAGTAATGTAGGAGGAGCTTAGAAGACGTTATAAAAAGGTGGATTCTAGAACTTGGAAGTGAGACTCTGCCATTAGCACACCATCTGTTGGGCTTAAACCATAAGCTTGAGACAGCACTTTTGGCATTGTGTTTTCATTTTCCAGGTAAGCGAAACTAGTTTCAAAACCTTTACTTTCTGATAGAAATCTAACTGTCTTTTTGCACAAGTGTGTGTCTTCATCCCTTTGTCGTACTCCTTAGCGCACATTTCTCCATACTCGTAGGGCACTGTCAAATTGCTTTATATTGTAATTGATAGTGTCATGAATGTTTTACGTGCACATGTGTTTCAATGTTGTATAACTTAAATGTTGATGTTACCACTGAAATTTAATGAACTATAATTTTTCTAAATTCACAAGCGTGAATATAACTTTGGCAGTCTTTCCACGTGTGGTTAATTTGAATCTGTGTTACATACAGCTAACATACTGAAATGTGTTTAACTCCCGGGAGGCTAATGCGAAGATTGATCCCGGAGAGTAAATTCCTGAGATTTGTTATTTGATTCGCCCCAAAAATATTGATAGAATTCTGGGCGCGCCCATTGTTTCAAGCATGGATTCCAGAACTTGTTCTGTCTAACTGATTTTTTGAGTGTGTACGAGAGATGACATCAGACATAGAAGACTTAACTATCATTACACGACGTGAGTAGAGGAAGGCAGGAAATGTAACAACTACAATGTGAGACGAAGTCCTTTCAGACTGGACAGGAGTGAATGTGAAAATGAGGGAGAGATGAAATGTTTTATTAGAACAGACATGTTTGGTGTTATTATAATATACTTGTTTGGTGTACATCTAGATTAGATACTACACATATGCGCTTGTTTCTTTACCACAGTTCCCACATTGTCAGGGACTAGAAGGCATTCATTCTTTGCAGTGAGGACACACACTGGAAAAGGATAGGCAGGGTCTCAACCTGAGAACTGTGAAAGGTTGATTTTCTACAATTTTATGAGTTATGTATAATTTTATCAATAACACCATCTTCACTCTACTAGCCTAAACACGTTCATTTGAATTTTGGTTAGATTTATTCAATAAATCTTGTTCATGTTGTTATAAAATAGTTGAGTAAATTGTGTACTTAGGTTCAAGTGTCTTTGTGCATATAGTTTACTTCAGCTCACAAATATTTAAATCACTTGATGGGGACTTTTGATAAAGTAATGCCAGAAGAGGAGGAAGTCGGAGGGGTTAACTGTGTATCTTGATATTATCTCATTGGGTTTATCTTGATATCTATCTATACCTTCTCCTACTCCTGTGGATACAAGTACAGCAATTTTCATTTAATGGAGCGAGCCACTCGCTTTTTTCTTGGCTATTCAGGACTGTCTAGGATCAACATAGCCTAGATATTAGTCCAGTTTCTCATGTGGGTGGGCAATGTTAGGGTTCAAATTCACACATTCACAATATAAGTGTATTTACCCACGTGGGGTTTACGACAATTTCTGCAAAAAAAAAATTTTGAAAAGGGTAATTTTTTTAAATTCTTACAAGACGAAAGGGTAAAGCTTAATGTTTCTGATTGACTTATATGGAAATTCTACCAAATGTCTACATACCTTCCAGTAGCTTTGAGTAAACTAGGACCAAGTTTTTATGTGTTAAAGTGGTCAAGTCAACTTCCCTTGTACTATAAAGCCTGTGGGTTCAGTCAAACAATTTCTTGAGACTCGGAGATGTGATTTTACAGAGGAACACTTTGAATTCTTTGGAAAGCCAAAAGAAGGAACCCAGATGTTTTGAAAGAGGCGAGAGGTCGAAGAAAACATATCACAAACATCAGAAAGAGACTGTCATGGTTTTTTTTTTTTTTTTGGGGGGGGGGGGTGTCATGTTATGAGAAGAAGGAAACTTGAGCGTATTGTGACCACTGGACCGATCTGTGGAAGTAAAGATAGAGAAAGACAGCGCAAGAAGATTCTTGATAGCCTTTTGTCATGGCATAGAGGAGTGTCAACACATGAAGTGATATACATAGTTGCACATTGCAGATTCTAGAGAGACATGATCGCCCATGCCAGTGGGTTTAGTACTGGTTCACAAAAGCAGGTGTCAGAATTGCCTAGGGTCATCACTAGAGCTTATGAGTTAATGCTTTGTGTGAATCTCTGTGTGGGTAAATAGCTGCGCTGAAAAAAAGTCCAAGCCATATAGAGTAAAACCTACTGAAATGAAGTTGATCCTCTTCTTTTTAAATACTATTTACACTAGGAGTTAATCATATTTACACTAGGAGTTAATCATATTTACATTAGGAGTTAATGACATTCATACTAGGAGTTAATCACATTCATATTAGAAGTTAATCACATTCATACAAGGAGTTAATCACATTTATACAAGGAGTTGATCACATTTATACTAGGATTTAATCACAATTATACTAGGAGTTAATCACATTTATACTAGGATTTAATCACATTTATACTAGGATTTAATCACATTTATACTAGGAGTTAATTACATTTATACTAGGAGTTAATCACATTCATACTAGGAGTTAATCACATTTATATCAGGAGTTAATCACATTTATACTAGGAGTTAATCACATTTATACTAGGAGTTAATCACATTCATACTAGGAGTTAATCACATTTATACTAGGAGTTAATCGCATTTATACTAGGAGTTAATCGCATTTATACTAGGAGTTAATTGCATTTATACTAGGAGTTAATCACATTTATACTAGGAGTTAATCACATTTATACTAGGAGTTAATCACATTTATATTATAAGTTTATCACATTTATACTAGGACTTAATCTAAGGAAATATTATAAACAATTTCTTTTTCAGCATTCACTCTTAAAAAAGCAGTTGGTATGCTGTGTTGTGGTTTACCGCTAGGCTGCAAAACATGTGCCTTTGGACCCAACACATCTCATTTCTGCAAACTCTCAGTAAGTCACCTTTTATGACATGCTTGTTAGAAAAAGGGAGTGTATTCTTTTTTCTCCCAAAATGTGACCCCGGAAACCACATAGGGTATAAAGCAAATTTTACAACACAAAAATATTTGTTAAATCTCACGTGTGTTAAACGCCACTTCCAAATTCATACTGTCCAGCACAGAAAATGGCCGCCAAATTTCCACATCCCCCTGGTTCTGCTGATAGCACCAGTGGTACCTGATTGGCTGGTAATACAAACCACCAGTGTATTGAGCAGAACCGTCCTGCACTGTCTGCGGTGGAAGGCTGCGCTGCTGGTGTTGCGGCGCATAACTAACTGGTGGGATATTTGGCAGGGCAGATGAAGTCATGGGTGGTACCATCGCAGTTGGAGGCTGTGAGCTGGCAGCAGGAAAAGGTGAATAGTTTGTGGCTGGTGGCTGAAAGCTTGTAGGTGGTGCAACATACTGGGGCCGTCCACCTTGATGGCGGTAAATGTTACTGGAAGCTTAAAAAAAAGGTAACAGTTGATTAAACCAATTTAAGAATCAACATCATAGTATTCTGTACATACCCAATGATATGCTGTCTCCTGTAGCAAATGACTTGAGGTGTAGATGGGGACTGTTCCAGTAGTACATTGGCTGTACACACATCATAAACTTCATCTAAATCGTCCTTTCTTGCCAAATCCACACTCAATTCCAAATTTATACATCCTTACACAAGTTATTTCATCCAACATCATATCATTTCTTCTATTAGCACTCCTTTATAAATGGTCTTTAAAATTACTCTTTTGTCCAATAAAAGCTTCTTAGCAGAAACAATCTGCTCATTCATTTCCTCGCACTCCTGTATGTCCTAGAAGTATATCTATGTGGCTCCCTGTAATGTTGATGGGCGAATGCTTGGTATGCACTCCAGCAACACTTGACCAGTTTTAACCTACCATTATACAGACTGAGAGAAACAGACATTATGATTGCTCTGGTAACTATGTGTAATTTCAGCTATCCACTTTAGAACTGCAGTGACTGATCATTATTATCTGGCTATACCGATGCATCTTAAGCATGGTATGAGAAACCATATTAAAGAAAATAATATTTACTTGGACCTATGGTAGTTTGGTCCTCCTAGCAAAATTATAATAAATCTGATCCACAGCAGTTAAATGGTATAATGTTTCCAACCAATACAGCTCACAGCTAAACCTAACTTCATAAAATGGATATAAAATGTTCCTATGGACCAATTTCAGGCTGCCAGTATTACACTGGCAATATCTTCTTCTTTTCTCTACTCCTGGAATGCCTAGCGGCGTCAGGGCAGGAAGAGATCTTTGGAATGGGCCCTTCTATTCGCTTTGTATAAAGTACTTTTCAGTGTCTTTGATCATTCTGTGACACATCTTCTGTGTGGTCTCTGGCTGTTACCACTGTATCTGCATAACATTGCTCCCTTTGGTGCCCTGCCTGACGACAATCTGGTTACATTGCCAAACCATCTGACCTGTTGTCTACCTATAAAGTTCATTACTGGTTCTGTGCCAACTCTCCTCCTGATATCATCATTCCTAAGTCGATCTTTCCTCACTACATCCAGCACAGTACCTAAAGATTTCATTTATGTCCTGACTATTTTCCCTCTGCCTTCTGAAGACAGTATCCATGACTGATATTGATAGCAAAGCGTTGGTAAGACTATAGTGGTAAGACCATACTTTCTCCCATCAATGGCCAGTCATCACCAAGTTCTTGAGTCTATGCCTTCTCATAACATGTCTGAAAACACAGGCTGTCTGTGACTCATTTCTGTAATCAATTTATGGTTGTCATCTTAACAGACAACAGCTTCAATAAAATAAGCAAGTACTCACCACCTGCACCAGATGAAGGAGGTAAAGAGGTAAAAGAAGCCACATTAGGTACAGGAGGTGTTCCATTTCCGATGTTTGTGGCTGTCTGGTTTGATATAAACGTTGGTGCAATTGAAGGTGGCTGTTGACCTGTGGTCACCTGAGCAAAGGGATCATGGCCAGCACTCGAAGGTGACTGAAAATAACTTGTCTGCAGGGGTGACACATTCTTTTTAGTTTGTAGTGAGGGCACTGATGACTGTCCAACAAAGCTGTCTGCTTCAGCTTCCTCCTCTGCTCAAAAAGGAATAAAAGTACAATTCAGTTAACTACAAGGAAGGAAAAAATAGCAAAAGTAACATCACAGCAGATAAAGTAAAATATTAAGATTTCTGAAACAGCTTTTTAAAGTAATGCAAATAGTTCTATTCTGCATTCTTTCCCTCCCTTAGGTAAATGTATGTACACTTTATGATGATGTGCACTGAGCTGATGCTGTGAACTTATTCTGAATGGGTTTTTTTAAAAAGTTGCCATTCTTTTAACAGGATGTCACAAACAAATACTAGAATTTGTTAACTGTTTCTGGTTTTACAAGTCAATTTTACATTTAGTAGTATGCTAATGCTTTTCAATGGTAAACTCTCAAACCACTTTCTAAATCAACACAAAGCTATCCCTAATAGTATGTTCATAAAATAAACATCCTTTAAAGATCCTGCATTCGTACATACAAATTATTTTTAAAATAATGAATACATTGGCAATCTAGCTACCAGAATGTGCTGCCTTTTCTCTAGGGTTCAAACTGAAACTATTGTAGCCCCATATTACTAGTCACGATCCTTTAGTAGCTGTACAATTTCAAGAAAGGGTCAAAGAAAAAACCAGCAAAGGAGCGGGCTGATAATTGTATTGTATGAACAGACTCAGGTTTTGGCCATTTACCCAAATGGTTTGACAATGTGGCTTATCTGAGAACAAAAAACAGACCTGATCTAAGACTTTGTTGACCATGTGATGTCAGCACACATGTGTCAGCAGGGATCATGATGGGCATGAAAATGCCTGAAGCAGGGGAAGAGAATAATGATCTAGAATATTTTTGGCAAGCTTTAATGACAGTGATTTGTGCAACGCACCTACTACATTGTGAGGATGATCAATTACACTGATTCGATAATCAATTACACTGATCCGATCATTTCAAACTTCGGGATCTATTAGAATACGAATAAATATTTTTCTTCCCCTGGTGCCTAGTCTGGAAAAGGACATTAGCAACAACGACTCTAAATCTCTGTGTGAATAGCCTTCACATGTTATAGTCTATGACTAAGGAGTTATAGACGTGTACTGATCAGTACTCAGGAAGTAGCAAGATAGGACACATTAGACAATACTGAAATTGTAGGATCCAATACTGTTGTCTTCATCTGGTTCATCTATCTTTCTGTAAGTGCTGATAAACAAATGCCTATATGTTTATTATATATACTGATTCTATGGCTACAAGATGTTCCCCATCCGTCCATTTATGTGACTAATGAGTTGGGAAAGCCAATTTCCTTCCCCTGACAATTCTCAGAAAGCTCTGAAACATGTCTGCTACCTATTTAAAGAGGTAAGGTCACCACCAGGGCTGTCTTTGACTTTCTTTCTCTGGACTGTTCTGCTTTTCATTATTTCAAGAGGCATCTGGTGTGAGAAGTGTAGGTGTGCTAAGCAGATGTTAGTAATCACGGCCATGGATATTTCATCTAACAATCACTGGCAAGGGTGACCTCTAGCTCTACTTGTGTTGTATCTAAGTGACAGGGCTCTCTGTAGTGCACTATCTTATGCTTTAATTGTGAAAGACTTTACATTACAAGAGCAGGTCTTTCTAGTCATACCAGCCACCATTATGGGCTGTGATACCAAGCCTCCCTACAGCACAGTATAACATGGAAAGGTGAATACAAATATCAGATAACATTCAACAAAGCACCTGTTCATTATTAGGTTTGATTACATAATGTAAATTTTAGGAAAGATGGGGACTGGGTGTGGCACTGGCGTGTGTTTTTTTAAATAAAAAAGAAGATAACAGCCCAAATAAGTTTTGGAATCTATGCTGTACACAAAACCTAGAAATAAGTCTATATTTATAATATACTAGAGGTTTAAATAACATATTCACAACCAGATAACACATTATGCCCAACAGGTAGTTAAACTAGTTTCTATACTAAAGAGTCTAAAGGAGTAAAAGATGAAGGAGACAAAAAGAAAGAAGAAATTTGTATGCACCATTCTTGAGTTTAATTACTGCTAATGATAACTGTGTTTTCTGTTATCAGTAGTTATCAATATATTTTTTTTTTAATGAGAGAATCAGACGAAAATAATTAACTACTAAAATAACATGATCAGACACACTATTATTCATCTACTGCTACTACTACAACGGTTCTCCTTGCAATAACGGTCGCTACTTGGACAGCGATGGCCTCTTAGTCGGAGTTCAGTCCCCTGGCTGCAGTGCAATTACGGAGTGGACAAGGCACGAATCACAAAACAAATTGAGTTCAACATGGCTTCTAGACCACGCGCTGCGACTCACATTAGCGACCGCGTTCTTTACCCTAACCCTACCCCTAATTATGTCATTTGTTTCGTTCCCTCTTTTCCACTAACTGCACTACAGCCAAGGGACTGAACTCCGACGAAGCGGCCGTCGCCGTCCAACTAGCGACCGTTATTGCAAGGAGAGCCACCACTACTAATTATCATTCATTGTGCTACTGTGCTGTTATCTGTCACACAGAGCTAGCAGTATACTTCAGTTTCATTTTAAGTTCCATCTTCCTGTACAGTTGTGCAATTACTTCAATTGTATGGACTAAATCCAGTCCAGCACCAGGTGTTTTCTCATCGACATCCTCAATTCCTCAACCCATCTTATTTCCAACTACAATGCCTGTCTGGTGATTCTCTGTTTGTCTCTTCTCTGCTACTTATTACTAGTCTATTCTTTAACTGTATTTTCAACATTCCGTCAAGGAATGCTAAACTAAACTTTAACTAAAAGACAAAAATGAAATTGATGTAGGAAAAACTGGAAAATGACCGTTCTGGTCACAGGTAAGAAAACGGAGCGCGCATATGACGTTTTCTTGTGTTGATATTTTATTATTAATTTACTGGTTTTCTCTGCTGAGAATTGCCTTTATTTGTATTGGTTATAATTATACAGTAAACTGTATTTTTTTTTTTTCATGTTCAGTATAGCAAGTATAGTATATATATATAAGTATAGGATAGGGTAGTGGCTACTAGTAGCGATTATGATCATTGAAGTGACCCACTTAAAAACGAAAGTAGAGATCGCTTAGTTACAAGATGGCGTCGGTGGTCCACGAAAAATGGCTTCTTTGCCTATCAGTTACTTTGAAATCCTGTCGCTCAATACTGGCTGCTCAGAATCGAATACGTGGGCTCAAAGTTATTCAGAAGAGGATGCTCAACCAAACGACACCTAACTTACATAGCGATCTTTGTTCAGCCAAATAAATTTCACTATTTGCTATGCGGGAATTAAATTTCTTTAATATCTCCTTTTTAAAGTGAATTTATATACTTTTAGTTGACATTTTTGGATTCTGTGTCCATTTTTACATAAATATGGGTAGTTTTGCTGGAATCCGTACATCATAGAATATAAAATTTAAATTTCTTCCCGGTCACTTCTTGACAGCTAAATCGGCGATTTCTCAAAATGGCTACCTCGTGGCCTAAACGAACTGTTTATCTCAGATTAATTAATCTAGGTTTTTTATTAAAACAGTTCAAAAATAAGGCAATTTTTATCGTATTTTTAATTTACCTTTCTTTAACTTTAATTTCACATGAGTTTTAATAATTTTAAATACTTGAAAATAATGTTTTAGCACGTTTTTAACATAGACTATTTTCTAGGGTATTTTGCGTTGAAAATGGACACAGACATTGGTTTGAACATTTTAAAATATACTTTAAAATCACATTATTGTAGTTTTTAAATCATTTTGGGAATCTTTAGCCATTATAGCATTTTTTAAGCCATAACCTATCATTTGGCATGAATCATAGTACCTGTTTAAAGCCTTTTTACCTGTTGACCCCCCACTCTCCGCACCCAGACTGACATTGTGGATGCAGACAGTGGTTTAAACATTTTTAAATATACTTTAAAATCACATTATTGTAGTTTTTAAATCATTTTGGGAATCTTTAGCCATTATAGCATTTTTTAAGCCATAACCTATCATTTGGCATGAATAATAGTTCCTGTTTAAAGCCTTTTTACCTGTTGACCCCCCACTCTCCGCACCCAGACTGACATTGTGGATGCAGACAGTGGTTTAAACATTTTTCACATTATTATACTTTTAAATGAACATAAAGTAGTTATTTAATCATTTTGTCGAATCTTTAGCCATTATAGCATTTTTTAAGCCAAATCTATCATTTGGCATGAATATTATTAGTTTTAAAATTATAGTATTAGTATTGACTTATAGATGCTTATTTAGAAAGTTGACGATTAATAAAATTTGAATAATAAATTATGATTTGTTTTTAACTGTGCATACGTTTACTTACTTACAGCCAAGGCTAGTTACAACTTATGATTATTAATATTTAATAATTATTTTTCTAAATATACTAATATATACTAGCTAGCAAACAGATCACATGGGACATAGATACGTTAATAAAATATATATAATGTTCTTTTTCCTCTTACCTTATGAAATGCTGCTCCATGAAAACACAACATAAATCCAAAGCGAATCACAAAGGAGCTTATTAAATAATTTTACTCCATGAAAACATAGCACTGAATCACAAATCAGGTATGAGCGGTTACCTTAGATTATTTTGAACTAGTAAATAAAATATCCAGCAGTGTTAGTTAAGAAGAAGAGGGAAACACTGTGGTAAAAAATGCGCTCATCATCAATAAAATTAAAGAATAACTCGCAAAAACTGAAGAAGGGATTATGTTAAATCAGTAAAAAGGGTGCATATTTTCACTTGGTTATCAAACAATATTGGGGGTCTCTGTAGAAAAGTGGTCAAGCCATTAACCTCGTGCTCGGAAGGTTGCGGTGAGTTTATTTTACAACTGCTTTGTTCGTCTCAAAAATACATTTTGTTTGGGTTAACAGGGACCCCTGGAGGCTGTTGCTGGAGCTACGGTATTCAGGCTTACTGCTAAGGTCTCGGCATGCGGCTAGTCATTCATGGTTATGTGGAGAAAGACCAAGCCATATGAAACCAGTAACGATGCAGTGAAGTCAATCCACTCGCTATTGAACATTTTTTAACAGTGGAGTAGAGCAAATTTCGGTCAGATGTATACACACTACACACACAATTGAGAGTGAAAGAAAAAGCATTTTTAAACAAATAGGAAGAGATGCATCATAACAAGAATAGTTACAAAAGTATGCATATTACAATATATGTCTTGGAAGACTCACTGGATAATAATCATTAATTTAATTCATAAATAAGGTTATCAATCCTGATAAACAAACTCATTTTTATGTTATTTAGGTTTGCATCACATCATTTTTTTTAAAAGGCAACAACTTTAGTCAGAGCCTGCTGTCCTGAAAGCAATGACATATGGTTGCTAAGGGGTTCAGCAAAAAACTTGAGAGTTATTGACATTAAACATGATAAATTTAGGTCCAGTTTTCACTTGGGAACACACCGCCATCTTGTTTCTGTGTTTTCCATTATAAATTTTTGGGGCAACTTTCCGTCACTGAAATGTGAATATCTCCGCTTAGAATTGACATACAGACTTCATTGAGGTACCGTTGGACTCGGGTTTTCAACCTCTATTCAGCTGTCTTGGTTTAAAAGTAGAAAACCTAATTTTTACATTTTGACTAAAATTCCTACTACTAGTGCAGTGGAGTCTACGTCAACATTGAACAACAACAGTCGCTAACGAATTCGTACTGCCTGTAACACACCTGGATCTAACAAAGGTGGTACAGATTGCACAATAGGCATCAATAAATTGGGCTGATCAGGTGGTGTGAGTGTCAAACCTCCTCCGGCCGGCATTAGAAGCAAAGGCGGAGGTGTGACTTCTTTCCTTGCCCTGTCCGACATGTTTAGCAACACGTATAATGGGAAGCGGACACACTTCCTGTAATTTGTTGAAATCAAAGTTCATAAAATAGCGGAACAAATATACAAAAATGAATGTTAAATGTTGAAGTAAGAATCGACACAACACAACACTCATATACGCGCTCTGTCCCCATCTTCATCAGCAAGCGAAAAATTCCAATTCCGATGGCACCAGTAACTGTCTGATTGTGTGTGTTGTCCATCAAGATGATGATGACCACTCTTTTTCATCAAGTATGAGTACGAAGATGACTGATGAGGCCGATGCGGGCCGAAAAGTTCTTGGACAGTGAGGACAGGGAATGAGTGTTGTGCCAGGGAGGGGATCTCTTGCAGTCGCCTTTCTGTCCATCCTTTTCTTAATGTCTTGCTGTTCTGTTTGCTATACATGTAGCCGCGCCCTTGCGTAGAGTTGCGCGCCATGCATTTCGGTCTTGAGAGGCAGCCTCCCAATTGGTGTCATGCATCCCAAATGCTTTGAGTGAAGACTTCAAGGTTTACTTAAAGCGTTTCTTTTGCCAACCTTGGGAACGTTTCCCATTTTGCAGCTCACCATAGAAGAGTTTTTTTTTGAGTGGGGGGGGGTGGGGGAGCCTGTGATCTGGCATGCGTGCCGCAAGACCAGCCCAACGAATTTGATACTGCATCAGTAGAGTGTGGATGCTGGGCGTGGCTGCTTTCTCAAGGACTACGGTATCAGGTACTTTGTCTTGCCATCTGATCTGCATTAGTTTTCTAAGGCAGACTGTGTGAAAGTGGTTTATCTTTCTAGCCTGGCGCTGGTATACAGTCCATGTTTCGCATGTGTATAGTAGTTTAGTTAATACAACTGCTCTGTATACTTTAAGCTTTGTTGGCGGTCTGATTGTATATATAGATATATATTCGTCTCGACCTTCCCTTGAGTGTTGGTTACTCTTCGCAGCGCCATTCTTCTCAGATGGTAATTATCTATTTGTGCCTTTAAAGAATCCTCGCAACATCTAGCTTTCCATACAACAGTTCACCACCAAGTGTCTTTCTGCCTGGTCGTTTCCCAACACACCGGCATTATCTGGAGAAAATTTCCAAAGGACGCTAAGTCCCCCTGACCTCTGAAGTGATGCTTATCACTCTGCACGGAGCAAACCGGTTTCCGCCTTTCTCAACATGCTCTGTGAGTCAGTTACAATCACAGCATGTGTGTACAGCTGATTCTCAAGCCAGCGGAAGGCAGCAGTGATTGTCTCCAGCTAAATTATCAAACTTGACGTTGTGATATGCCAGGCTTTGTTGCACTAAGCGACATCCATTCGCTTGCAAGAACCACTATATACATCGTCTGCCTCTCAACACATCAACATCTTTATAGATAATCACATCATCTGTGAAGAAATTGTCGTAAAACATATGTTGTTGAACATCTGATTCTGCAGCACCAACTGGCCAGTCCCTTCACTCACGGTCTAAATTAATTAGAACCCTACACAAGCCTGATTCTTGCTTGGACACTTCGACCCACTCATCTCCTCACCAAAATCTATCAAGCCTGCACACATGTTTAACTGTGTCTCCAGCTCGCGCCATCCAAGACCTTAAATATATATAACTGTGCTGCTGTAATCTCTGCATCGTTTGATAAAACCATTTCATCGAAGCCTTTACTTTATTTTTTTATTTTTAAAGATTTCTCCCTACAGATTTTCATTCTGTAGAAACAACATCTCAAGGATGAGAATCGAACAAATGGCGTTCACTCGTATAACCACATAGCACATAAGACGGTTACGCTCGTATAACCACATAGCACATAAGACGGTTACTCTCGTATAACCACATAGCACATAAGACGGTTACACTCGTATAACCACATAGCACATAAGACGGTTACACTCGTATAACCACATAGCACATAAGACGGTTACACTCGTATAACCACATAGCACATAAGACGGTTACGCTCGTATAACCACATAGCACATAAGACGGTTACGCTCGTATAACCACATAGCACATAAGACGGTTACGCTCGTATAACCACATAGCACATAGGACGGTTACACTCGTATAACCACATAGCACATAAGACAGTTACACTCGTATAACCACACAGCACATAAGACGGTTACGCTCGTATAACCACATAGCACATAAGACGGTTACACTCGTATAACCACACAGCACATAAGGCGGTTACGCTCGTATAACCACATAGCACATAAGACGGTTACGAAGACACTTGTAGTCCAGTGTAGACGGGTTTATTAGTGATCACGGTAGCTCCTTTAAAAGCTCTTTGTGTTCTTTCTATACTTATAGCTTTTGATTATGGGGAGCGGGCTGACCAAAGGGTTAGAACATTAGGTGGTCGTGCAAAAGACCCTTGTTCAATCTTTGGTAAGGCGATGGACGTCTCTTCCCCGCCCCCCCCCCCCCCCCCCCAACACCACTGTCAGGGCAACAATAAACATGCTAACCTACGCAGCCAGTGAAGATTGCCCTAGCAATGCTGCCCTTATTCCTCAGGCTCAACCCCCCCCCCCCCCACCCCCCACCAATCATCCACACACCCTCCCGATCATAGTGCCTTTATTGCCACCATTAACCCATTGTGCAGAATAGGTGGGCAGGTCGGTGATAGGTGTGTGTGTGGGGGGGGGGGGGGGGGGTTGAGCATGAGGTCAGTATTGTCGCCACCTACTTTATGTTATAAATTTGCTCACGAGAGGAAACAAATCTCCAAGAATCTCAGAGAATTCAAACTCAGGTCGCCTACAAGGGAGTCCAGCATTCTAATGCTGGTCCACACCTTATACACTTTAATTATTTATTCGTAATATCCTTAATATATTGTCCAGAGATTACGTCACGAAGGTTAAAGTTCACCAAATCATTACCCAAGAAACGGGCAATCAGTTAAAGAGATGCACAGTGCGATCAGGGAGACGTGTAATCAGATCTGCCAACTTTTCAAAAGCATAGCTCGGCCGACCGGAAGTAGAAACGAGGCAGACTAAGACGGATTTCAATCCACCTAACAGAGTGGATTGAACTCATACACAAACACATGAAGTCTAGCGCCTAAGATCGCTAGAAGCGGAAAGATCTGATCAAACAGTCAACATTAACGCTGTGACCCAAAGACATGCCGTTGTTATAGGATTAGAGATAGAAACGGTAGAACTTCCGAAGTAGAAAAGGGTGCTCGGCCTCATGTTACCCATATCAGTGCATCATTCGACTGCCGATTAATTTTTACAATATATGTCAATCACCATATAACAAAACATTAGACCGGGTCGCCCACTGGCTGGCCAGTAGACGACTTCGTCGTCGGTCGGGGCAGTATTTGGGTCTGTCTCTAATGATCTCATCAACATTGCAAATAACCCAAGTCACAATAATAACCAATAGCTACCCCTTCGGGGATGCTGACTGAAAGCGACGATTTTTGTCCCCCGCTAAACAGGGAAATGTTAGGATAGCTCATGAAATCCATTCCAGAAAGAGTAATATAGGCTACCATATCACATACAGAGTGAAGGAAACGAATTTTTGCACAGGAAAAAGAAAGTTTTTTTTTTGCTACACGGTACTGCCCTCTTTATCCTAGATCCCATATTGTGCTTATAAGTCACTTCAGGACTCACAGACAATGAACTATAGTTTCATGATGGATGAAAGAAAAAGTGATCCTCATCACAAGTGATGGACGAACAACAACAACAGTACCTGGACACGAAAAAAGTGAATACTAAGTCTAGCAATTCAGTAACTAGAAGCAAAAGAGCAAAAAATGTCACATACCACAAAAAGAAAGGTCAAATAGAAATGAAAGCCCCAAAAATCTAGCACAAGAAGATCGTTAAATTAAAAAGATACAAGACAAATCCTGATTCCATAAATAGGAACAGGGAACAGTTAACCTGCATTCACATGTATACTCAACTAAAAATCAACAAGTCTTAGCTCGGAACATTTGTTTTAGAGTCCTGGGGATATGTAGGTAGGTAAGTTGTACCCCACCAGGACATCACACAGAGCGATAAACACCCGGTGACTCAAAGTGCAACCATGTGGATGAGGATCACCCGTGGAAGGTATCAAAAACCACGTTCAACAGCAGACTATATTGCGGCTGCCGGCAAAAGCCAGGGTAAGGCTTCAAAATAACGAAAAATGGGTCCATAACTGATACGATTCCAGGGAATAGTAGTAGTACATTTTACCCCACTAGTACATGACACAAGCGATAAACACCCGCTAACACAAAGTGCCACCATGTCGACGAGGATCACCAGTGGAGAGTTCCCGGAAACGTGAGGGGAGGAAAAGGCAAATTGAAAGTCTTTCAGGGGTACAACAAATAAAGCGCGTTGAAGCTTCAAGAAACCACCGTAAAAGCAGAGCTGTACATTAATCATCACAGACATGGACAGTCATGCACAATCATCATATCTCAAATCATATAAATGTTGCCGTCCCATCCGAACAAGGCGGCAAGTCAATCGAATTTACAAAAACGAAAACAAATTGTCACCCAAATAACTCCCCCCCCCCTCCCCTCCCCCTTTTTCCCCCTTAAACAGAACGCTTCATAAACTTTTATTAAAAGTTTAAATAAGACAGAAAAAAGTATACACGAGATAACACTGCAGGTTAGACATGAGTGATTGAAATAAGAATTGGAGGAAGAGGGGGGGGGGAAGAAGAAGAAGAAGAAGAAGAAGAAGAAGAAGAAGAAGAAGAAGAAGAAGAAGAAGAAGAAGAAGAAGAAGAAGAAGAAGAAGAAGAAGAAGAAGAAGAAGAAGAAGATATTAACCAAACGCTATACAGTGTAAAAAGTAAAAGTAAATAGCCATTTTCCCGCTTTCGGGCGTATTAGGCATACAGGGCTAGACCTATATTTTATAGACCAATCGGCACTTGGTGGATGATGTGGTCATCATCACGCCGGCCGCCTTTACTTCTCATGACTCCACCTGGTACCCATTTAAGGCTGGGCAGACCTGGGAGCCAAGATCGTTTTGACATACAGTATAGTAAACAGAAAATTCTAATTAGAGGGATGAGCTATCCTGTGACCATGCACTAATGATAAGAAAGTAGGCTTGTTCAAAATAGCAGAATTAGTTAACATAGCTTTTGATACATTTCAAGAGGGCTGCACCAAGTAACTTGACTTGGACAATGAATACGTTTTGTTATCCGTGAACTTCTGAAGTTCAAAAACCGAGGTTAGAATTCTAGGCTGTCAGAAGAGAGACCAGGGTTCAAAATCTCAGCGTGTGGGTTCCGGGGTTTTATTGGGGAGGAAAATAAGAAGAGAATCACGGCCTGCCCAAAAGCATGCCGTTGAAGTCGACTAACTAGAAGGTTTATTCGAAGTCTGAGTGCATCCGCCTGAGAGCCAAGGAGCCAACCGTCTGCACACAAATGAGTCAGATCTGTAAAACAGGTATGCACGAAATACGCATGCTGTTGGATAGAACTATAGCCTAGAAGTGGACGAACAATCAGAACTTTCTCCCGGAGTTTACAGCCGGTGAACGCCAAGAAGAGTTGGAAATTCTCAACAGGGTTGTGGAAAATTTGCTCTCGGGGGACCCAAATAGAAAGTACCGTCAGCCACAGTTCTTGCTGACAATACGATCCGTGTGGCCCTGAATCACCCTATTTAAGACTTGTGCGCCCTGCGCCGCCCTGAAAAGTGGCAAATGCAGGCAGTAACGCTCTTATCTGGAAAGACCTGTAGGTTACACCTGGCTGGTATAGTCGTTAAGGATGCCCACATTATATCTTCTTTGGAGGGGTTGAACTGGGTATCTGCCTTCCTGGGGTTCATTGCTGAGGATATCACCAGCCTCCATTTCAGATTTTACAATCTCAGTATGGCATGGCAAACCTTGAGGTAGCATCCCAGATGAGACAAATTGATCGATCGATCGTAGGCAGTCAAGACCTTTTTTTTTTTCTCTTTAAACTCTCGTAGCAATGTTTTCGCATTATTGGCACAACTGATTTGATTTTTCTACATACCATTTGAACAGGCTTAGTTCAACGTGTAGAAGATATAACTTCTTCTTCATGTTCACCAGCTGTAAACTGTGGAGGAAAGTTATGGTTGTTTATCCACTTTTGGGCTGCAGTTCTGTTCCAGAACCTGAGGGTTGCGTGTGCATCCGTTTTACATCTCTGACTCACTTGAATGCAGACTGCTGGTTTCTTGCCTCTCAGGCAGATGCTGTCGAATGAAGCTCCCAATTAGTCGACTATTACGAAATGCTTTTAGATAGTCAGTATTTTCCCTTCAACAGGGCCCCGGAACCTACACGGGGAAGATATAACATGAAAGTAAATACCACTAAAACTGAAATAATGCAGATCAGCATAATTTCTAGTCCGCTACATATAGGGTTAAATTATACTTGTCTGAAACAAGTTGAAGAAATTTAATATCTATGAAGTATATTCGCTGAAGAGGGAGGAAAAGATCGGGGAAAAGAAACAGGATGCCTTCAGCCAATGTATTTTTTTTAATCAACTGAGACCGTTTTTAAGATATCCAAACTTAAGTATAGGCGACAAGAAACAGGGTATAAACCACTGTTTGGTTTCACTTTAACACTGATGGTAAATCCCCTTTCGATTTTATATTTCGTGGCTTACAAAGACGTCTGTTTACGTAGACAAGTCCGGATGGGCAACTGTAAATTAACACGCTGCTTTATAGGATAGCTGACATATGCGTGCGAGTGAAAGACCACATTCATACATGCAAGTTCACTCAACAAGTGCTATGTAATGTACGTGTTCATAGTAGGCGGTGCTTATATGCATTGCTATGAAGGGATGGGCAAGGCCTGGGATGCTGACTCAAGAGAATATCAACAATGCTTGTGCTCCCATCCGAAGGTAAAGCAGCTCTCACGCCAGCTATTTTTAACTTATAACGTCTTCTGGCTCCCAGTTGTGCCTACTGAGCGAGCCTAGTTTCGAGGGTACGTGAGGGAAGAGAAGAGCAACAGTAACCAGGAATCGTGAAAGGTTTGTATAGTCTCATTAAAAGTTGTAGTGTATTGATTTAGAAAGCATACATAACTTAACTTTTTTAGGGCATACTTTTTTTCTTCTTCAAATTTCGGAAAGTAAAGATTAAAACATTGATAAGTATGTAATTAGGTAGCCGTGGATAGCGTCTCACTGAAACATGAACAGCAACTACCAATGGCGTGATTTTTCTCTGAAAGTTAAGACAGTTTCTTAAAAATAAATAAAAACACATAATTTGTGTAGAATCTAAGTCGGCTATAATTTTTTGCTTTTTTTTTAAATTGTATGTTAAGTTCCATATCAGAACGTCACAGATTATGATTTATCCCAGTTTATTGGCCTTTTTGTGGTTTTACTAAGTGGTGTTACGTTTAGTTAGTAGTTTGCCATTGCTTTTATACAACTCAAATACTGCGACCTACGTCTCCTTTTGCCTTCTATCCCCCAGTGGAGTATAGGTCCTTAATCAACTCACACCAAGTTGTTCTTCTATACCTTGCATGCATGCAGCTAACCCCATCTGCTCCCTACCCTTTTGGCTTTACTACACACTCTTTAGCTCCTTCCTTCTCCATGTGGGTTTTTTTTTTGGGGCTCTGCTTTTATTTCTAAACCCCTGTGGGTTCCAGTGCAAAGATATTCTTGTTATATTGTTATCAGGTTTTCTCAGAGTATGTCCTGTCCAACACCAGCATCTTTTTGTCACCTCTGAAACTGGTTTAGTTCTCTCCCACAGTTCAACATTAGTGATCCTATCATACCAATTATTTCCTCCTATTCTGCGCATTCACTTGATAATGTAATGAATGCTGTAGTTTATTAGTAATTGTTTAAGTGTTTTTTCATGTTTCTGCCCCCATACAGCAGTACCCATTTGACATTAGAACTAAATAATTTAAGTTTAATATCAGTTTTAATTTTTTTTTAAACTTCACAAATTTCCCTGTGCTATGAAAGCTCCTCTTGCATTTGTATTTGTATTTTAATATCTATGTCAGTGTCCCCCAATCTTTATCTACATTACTGCTGAATAGGTATACACTTGTACGACTGAACATCTTATAATGAAATACCATTTAGAGAAACAACATTACTATTTGCCTGGTTTATTCTCATTATCTTTTACTTTTGTCATGAGTTGATGGTGTCACATGTCTTTTATTAGGGTTCCCCTAATAAACAAAGACACCCTGAAGGAATTTAATGTTGAGATGGTGGCTCTTGTTGGTCTAGAAGGTTCTCCGCAGCTCCAATGACCTTCCAACATCACTTCAGGGATGAGGCAACTCAAATTATAGGCTTCACAAAACAACTAAATTTTCCTGGGCACAACTTGGCCATACCACTTGTTAGCCCCCAGACTAGATAGGATCACTGTCATAGTCAAATAACACAGTAATAACAGAAATATGGAAATATATTAAACACTGACACCAACCTCACTAAAGGAAATGGTGAAATATCTTACACCAACAAAGTAATATTCAGAATAACAGTGCATTGAATTTCAACATAGGTAGAATATCAATGAATGGATCAAAAAGAAGGCACAATATATGTATATATCAGTGAAAACTACAGTTAATTCAGAACAAACTAAAGGCTGGACTCCAATACTGACAGGGTCATCATCATGATGAAGATGTACAGTAAGGACCTAAGCCCAGGCAAAGTTTGAATGGTTGGCCATGAGTCTTCGTCTGATACTCATCTAAAGTGGGGAAGCAGGGCAGATCTTTCTTCTTGTCAATCTGAGTCAATTACTGCTGAACAGTTCAGGTACACTAATGTTCCAAAACAGTCTCTTACTGCTACCCAGCAACACATTTCAATCATTAAAAAGTATTTAAAAGACTGACATCTAATATGGTCTACAGATTTAACTGTAAGTATATGTTTCATTCTCAAGCTTCTTCTTAGATTTGTTTAAAATTGGACAGTTGACAGTTTTGGAGAACCAAGGGTACAACTGGGGCGCACCTAAACAATGAAACATGATTATGACTTTGTAATGTGGAAAATGAGAGAACCATATAAAAATGTTAACCAGTTTGTAAACTACATTATATACATTCAAAAGATTAATTGTCATTGATGTAATTCTTTTCTAAGAAATATTATATAATCTCTTTAAATTTAGTATATAAATTTATTATTTTATTATTTCACTTCATCAGACAAGGTATTAGTAACAACAGCGATCATGAAGGTTCTCTTGCTTGCTTTATCCATGGTAATGGTAGCAGTCACAGCTGACAAGTGCACAGAGAAATGTGCCAAATGTGAGACAGTGGAACGATCAGAGTGCTTAGCTGGCATGGGAAAAGATCCGGAGTGTGGCTGCTGTGACATTTGTTCCAGGTACTTTATGCACTTTGTACATTATTATGAGCATTATTTATGAATATTCCACCATTACTGTATTATACTTTTTTCATTATTGCTAAACAACACACAGATGTAAGTGGTTATTTGGAAAAACCTTTATGTATGTATAAAAATATATATAATTATTCCTATATGAAAAGCATATATATATATATATATATATATATATATATATATATATATATATATATATATATATATATATATATATATATATATATATATATATATATATATATATATATATATATATAAATTTATATTATATATAAATGTATATATTTCTTCTTCTACCACACTGTTTTAATCAGTGGAGCAAAAACATTCAGTTAGCTCATGACCAAGCCTTTCCATCATTTGCCTTCTTGTGCAGCTCACTCCGTTCTCCCCAGCTTACTCATCTGTAAAACAAAATACTGGGTCTGTGCTGTAATATCCTGTTCAACCCTTTCTGGGTTGTAACTGAGAAAAATAGTATCCTTTTTGGTTTGATAAAAGATTCTTATACTTTTGCAACTGTTGCTGTTTCATATTGATCATACAGTTTCTTTCAGGCAATTGTGATATTCACACTGCTATTATCTTCATTAGTATTCAGTTCAATTCTTTTAACTCATAACTATGATACATAGTATATATGATTATTTAAATGATTCGAAAAGCTTATGTTTTTTCCATGTATATGAAAGTGTGTGTGTGTGAACTTATTACTGTCTGTGAATATACACACATAGCAACAGCAATATCATCATCATCATCATCATCATCATGTAGCAGGTCCTTTGCAGAACGTCGCTCTCATCACGGTCTGCCTGAAACTCGGTCTCTCACCAGTTCTCCCGCCTCATGCACTCCACTTAAGGAGTCACTTATATCCTGTGCCCATCTTCGTGGCGGTCGGCCCCTGCCCCTCCTTCCTGGTACCATGCCTTCTGCTATAATTTTTTTCAAATCTGTTGTGGTGCTTGATATGACCAAAATATTTCAGCTTTCTAGAAAGGATGCTGTTTATTAGCCAATCTTCCTTGATGTTCAGATCTTTTAAGATGTCAATATTTCTCATCTTCTTTGTCCAAGATATTCTGAGAATCTTTCTATAGTATTTCAGCGAAAAAATGCCCTTATTCTATTTCTTAAGCAGTATACATAATTTACACTCTAAGTAAAACACAAAGGTGTTTATGGCAGATCCATAGCTTCAAACATGTATGCATTTGCCATCCACACCTTTAATTTTTTTTTTACTCAGTATCCAAATTATGTATATTGCTATTTGAAAATGAAATGCCTTATAGATACAAATACAATTGATGAGTGAAATAGTAGTGAAAGACCACATGTAAGACACTCTTTTGTGCCCAGTTTGTGACCCACTCAAAATAAAGTTTGTTTGTTCATTCAATCTCTTCTTATTATTATTAGAGTGCAAGTGTCATTTAGCATCATGTATGTCAGTCAACAACCTGCGGTCCCATGTATTACCAGTCATACATTATATAGATGTTTCACTGTGCTTTATATTAGTCAACAGCCTTTCTGTCTCATGTATTACCAATCATACATTATGTAGATGTTTCCCTGTGCTATGTCAGTCAACAGCCTTTCTGTCTCATGTATTACCAATCATACATGATATAGATGTTTCACTGGGCTATGTGAATCCTGGACAATCGGAAGGCAGGCCAAACAATTTCTTGAGGCCTCAGAGATGTTATTTTACAGAAGAATGCTTAAGAATACCTTGGACAGCCAAAAAGAGCAACCAAAAGGTTTTGAAAGAGGCAGGAGCCCAGAAGACAACTTATCACAGACATCAGAAGGAGACAGTCATCATTTTCGGCCATGTTATGAGAAGAGGGAAAATAAAACATGTTGTGAGCACTGGAAAGATCTGTGGAAGGAAAGATAGAGGAAGACAACGAGAGAAGATGCTTGACAGTCTTGTTGCATGGCATGGAGATGTAACAGCACACGAACTGATACATGCTGCAGGAGATTGCAGATTATGGAGAGGCATGATCGCCCACACCAGTCGGCAAGGCACCTGATGATGATGAAGATGATGATAAACCAATCTTGGCTTCTATGCTTCTCTTTCTTACCAGCTTTCCCAATGTTATGAACTACTGAAGTTTCATCCTCCTTATGATGTACTGAAAAATATGGACTGTCATCTTTTGATGTGAATGACCCGTTCTCTTTAAACTAATACTTTAAAATGGTCCATTTTTTGACAGTGACATTACATCTACAGTAAAGATAAAAGCAAGAAATCTGTTAGAACTAAGTTCTAGTCAATTGTTTCATTGTGATATCACATTCTAATATTGTAGTGGGAGTGTTGTGTGTATATATATATATATAAATATTATACACACACACATCTATGTATATACACACACATATAGGTGTAAATGAGTCCTTCATTGCATTATGGTTAAATTCAGATATTTTTAAAAAGACTTGTTTTCAGCACTGTTGTCCATCACAAGTAGAAACAGTTGATAATGGCTTGAGTGTGGTGAATGTCAGAAGTCAACTAACAAGATATCATTTTTAAAATGGCTATTTATGATGTCTTTTATAAAATATCATTTCTTATTCAAGTACAACTCCACTTTTTTGTTGGTTATAGTAAAATATATTATGTATACACTATTTCTTGCCCTGTCCAATTATTTGTGCATTATTCCAGATTTGAGGGGCAGAAGTGTGACAAGAATGGTGCTGCATACAAGCATGGTCATTGTGGTGATGGCCTTGACTGTAAATCCGTTGGTGATGATGATATCTGCCAGTGTGTCTGGGATGAAATAATCTGTGGCTCTGATGGTGTCACATACAAGTAAGAGTTAGCCAAAATAAATTCAGAGAATTCAGTTGTTAAATAGGATCACTGTTTACTTTGTTAATCGAATTCTTTCATTATTCCATGTGTTACCAGAGCTCAAAAGTGAAGAAAACAGTAACTTAAAACCTGTCAATCATGCCTTAAAAGGAGTTTGATGCAGAACTGATGTAGAGAAGACAAAAGGAGCTTAAGCTGTTGAGTTGAGTTTCACAGCACTTGGGGCATTCCCATGCATGCTCTGTCCTCATCTTCAGCAGCCAGCAGTTCCAATACTTATGAAAGTGGTCACAATCTGGTTATATCTTGCCTTTCCTCTGAATGTATTGAGCTGGCCAGACCCTCTGATTACTCCCAGAAGCCTAATCTCTAGGACATAATAATCTTTTATCTCTACTGATATTGTTGCTTGTAAAATCTAAACAGTTATGTAAGTGTGTGTGTGTGTGTGTTGTGATGGTTGTGGGGGAGGGGGGATGGTGGGGGTAGATAGTTTTGTGTGGGATGGTGTTCCATTGAGAATAAAAAGCAAAAGTAAGAAAAGGAGATGAGAAACATGATGAAAAGAATTATGTTGACAGAAGATTTTAGCTCATTTGAATATTACATAGTCTCGACACAAGTCATATTTAGTGTGATTGTTTTATTATCTGCCCCTTTTTTTTAAACAGCTGCTCCGGTATTTAGTTTTACAGTTCTGATATTTAATTTCTAAGTTCTGATATTTAGTTGCACCATTCTGATATTTAGCATTAACATTGTAATGTTTATTTTCATGGTAATCTATTTATACTCTTTCCCACAGCAATCTTTGCCAGATGATGGCTGCAGCTGTCAGAGAATCCAAGAGGGATACAATGGAGGTCAAGTCAGTAGGCCCATGTGATCCAGGTGTGTTGGAGAAAGACCTCTATGAAATTAACATAGAAATGTATCCAGTATTTCTTACATGATTTTTGTCTCCAACTAATTTTTCTTATCTTCTTCTTCGCGTTCACCAGCTGTAAACTCTGGTGAAAAGTTCTGGTTGTTCATCCACTTCTGGACTGTAGTCCTGTTCCAGAATCTGAGTGTTGCGTGATCCTCCATTTGACATATTTGACTTATTTGTATGCAGACTGCTGATTCCTTGCCTCTCAGGCAGACGCACTCCTACTTTGAGGAAAGCTCCCAATTAGTACACTCTTACGACATGCTTTTTGGTAGGCAGTGAGTCTGTTCTTGTTTTCCCTATAACAGGGCCCCGGAACTCACACAGAGAAGTGTTCTAATAACACCGACAAAGTTGTAAAAGTTGTATCAGTTGGATTATTTTCACCCCACTCCAGACACATATGAGTGATCAAATTCCCCCTTCAACATATTACCACTGTCCCATTGTTAATAGTGCCAGTCCTATGCTAGTGAGAAAGACTCCTTCTATGTCCAGTGTACCTCTCATGTTTGGCTATGCCAGTCTTTAATTCCAGTTCTCACATTCTAAGCACTAATTTGAATGTGCTGCTCCCAATAGCCTTTGAGTGTCTTTTATTGTTAAGGGCATTAACAGTGTTAGCATGATCCATAGGATGACCATCTGCAGCTAAGGCAGAGCCAGTCAGTCTTATCAGCTCTTTCATTGCCAACAACACTTGTATGTCTTGCACCAATGATAAAGGTAACTCCACACTGATGGAGTTTTGCCATGACTCAATCCTCTGTGTAAATAGTGCCTTGACCTGTGTATCATGCTCATAGAATCATTCAGCACTCCCTCGTGGAATAGTCCTGTGATTCCAGCCATGTGTAAGTTTGTGTCACTGCCATTATCTCTATCATCATGCTGCAAGTAGTCATAAAGAAGACACTCTTGGCTTCCTGGATGTCTGCCTGCAGAGTGTGGTGTGAATGCCCTTGCACTTTTGTTCCTCATACATCAAACTTCTCTGTCTGGATCAGCACATCTGCTTCATCTGAATTGTCACTTTTGCTGTAAAAGAAAAGACTGTGTGTGCATATTTTTAAATAAACGTTCTAATGATTGCCACTGCTGTATAGTAACATCAACATATGCTTTCTAAAGACTAGTGTAAATCAGTTTATAAACTTATTTCTCCCATTTTCAGGTGCACAGATTGTAACCAAGCCTGAATATGTTAAAAACAGCACAAACAACAATGTTGTCCTTTCATGTGAAGCTATTGGATTCCCCACTCCTTCAATCCACTGGGTTGTTACTAAAGCCAACAATAAGACTTTTGATATGCCAGGTAAAAAACTAGTGATGAATCAAATACTATTACGGATTTTGGAATCATTTGTTTCTGTTGATTTCTCAATCTAATGCAATGTAGCTTTTGTTACAGTGTTACCATTAACAATTTTGCAGAAACATGCAGAGGTGAAAATGAATTTATTTTGGTGGTCTTAATGGTGCTGAAATACACATGTTTACACAACTTGGGTAAATTCTAAACCCACAATGAGCAGCCTGAGAAAAATTTTGAGTATTGTCATGTGTGGCTACACACAGAATTGACCCAAGAATTAAAAACAGTGTGACAGACACTGTGTTTATACAAAATATGTAGATGTTTGTTGTCAATGGAATTGGTACCCAAGGATTGGGAGAGAAGTCGTCAGCCAGAGAGGACATATTCGTCTTTTAGGATCTCAGGATTTTGCCATTGGATATCTACATGTTAATATCTGCAGCATGAAGGAATGCTTAACTGTCTAATTGCCTTATGCAAGAAGTTCTAACTATTTAAAGAAGTGTTCCCTAAGAATTTCCACTTGTTATATATTGGTTTAGAGATAGCGTTTTGATACTCAGCGTTCATCTCTTACACCCCCCCCCCCCCCCCCGCCCATATCCACATTTCAAATATATAATTTCATACAGAACATAGAATAATAAGTACAGAAAGTCTGAAAAGGGAAAGATGTTCAAGATGGAAGCAGACACAGAATGACATACAATAACAGTAAAGAATTTCACCTAATATCCAATTCTACTATTGTTAACATTTCTTAATTTATAGCATTTGATAAGAACCTTATAGCTTTTAACAATATAAGGTGTATAGTAGAAATGACGGCTCACCTCCAAATAAAGGTCCTAAATTATTTTCAGACGAAAATTTTGTAAAACACAAAAATTATCGCGGAATTATCACCATGGCAGGCAGACCATCAGCTCCAACATTGGGTCCTAGGTTTAACTTCTCCCCTGGGTCCTAGGTTTCACTTCTCCCCTGGGTCCTAGGTTTAACTTCTCCTCTGGGTCCTAGGTTTAACTTCTCCTCTGGGTCCTAGGTTTAACTTCTCCTCTGGGTCCTAGGTTTTACTTCTCCCCTGGGTCCTAGGTTTCACTTCTCCCCTGGGTCCTAGGTTTAACTTCTCCTCTGGGTCCTAGGTTTAACCTCTCCCCTGGGTCCTAGGTTTAACCTCTCCCCTGGGTCCTAGGTTTAACTTCTCCCCTGGGTCCTAGGTTTAACTTCTCCTCTGGGTCCTAGGTTTAACCTCTCCCCTGGGTCCTAGGTTTAACCTCTCCCCTGGGTCCTAGGTTTAACCTCTCCCCTGGGTCCTAGGTTTAACTTCTCCTCTGGGTCCTAGGTTTAACTTCTCCTCTGGGTCCTAGGTTTTACTTCTCCCCTGGGTCCTAGGTTTAACTTCTCCTCTGGGTCCTAGGTTTAACCTCTCCCCTGGGTCCTAGGTTTAACCTCTCCCCTGGGTCCTAGGTTTAACCTCTCCCCTGGGTCCTAGGTTTAACCTCTCCCCTGGGTCCTAGGTTTAACTTCTCCTCTGGGTCCTAGGTTTAACTTCTCCTCTGGGTCCTAGGTTTTACTTCTCCTCTGGGTCCTAGGTTTAACTTCTCCTCTGGGTCCTAGGTTTAACTTCTCCCCTGGGTCCTAGGTTTAACTTCTCCCCTAAGTTCTGGGTTAAGGATTAGGGCAATGAGTGTTACAATTAAGAAACCGCCACCAGAATCTGTCACAACAGTCCAATGGCGACACTAATGACTGAAGGGTTAAGCATGCAACTGAAACAGCTGCAATGTTACAAAGGCAGCACTAGTCATGCAACTGAAACAGCTGCAATGTTACAAAGGCAGCACTAGTCATGCAACTGAAACAACTGCAATGTTACAAAGGCAGCACTAGTCACACGATTTGCCACCTGCCCCTGGTGTATTCGCTGGAAAGAAATCCTAATTTTACACACCATTGAGGTCCTGTTATGGTATTTTCTTAGCCTCAATAATTTAGCACCATTATTCAAAGGAGAGGCAAATTGACATAGCAGAGGAGATCTTCTTGACTACTAATTATCTTGATATCAAAGGGATTTCAGTGTTTATTATATTTGTACTGGTATATATGGAAATTAAAAACAATGAAAAGGTTGTGTGTACTGGCATGTGTGGGAACTGAAGATAATAAAAAGGTTGGCAGACTATCGTCATAATAAAATGCATATAGCGATAAGTAAAGATGATTTCAAATAATAATTTAAAAAAAAAAAAAAAACTCTCATACAAAAACTGAAGTATGGTCGGGGATGTGGCATGAATGTTTGAAGGAAAGACATGCATATGAGTTGTTGAAAGCTCAAATTAGAGCAAGCCAAATAGTGAATGACAAAAATTTTTTCAAATACCTTTTTTTCTCAGTCTGCAACTTGGATTGGCTTATTTTATTATTAGAGAAGACACATGTTCTGCTTGTCAGAGACATAGTAATACTTAACACTAGATTGCAAGAAATAATAACTCCAAAGCACTTCCTTAGTTGAATATAAGTGTTGAATTGACATCATAGTACTCTGGACATTTTCATAAGTGCCCCTTCCTCATCTTCAGCAGCCAGCGATGAATAACATTTCTGTCTTTAGACAGAATATGGAAAATATGTCAAGCTGCAATAAGCCTATAACAACAGAAAATAGCTAGTTCTAGAAAACTGCATGGAAGGAGTGAAGAGTAGATATTGCAAAGAAAAATAATAATATCCCAGATCCTGCAAATATTTGAAACAAATAAATGACTCTTTATGATTAAGACAGTTATTTCAAAAAAGTACATTTAAATGTTACAATTAGAACTAATAATATAAATTCATACAATCTGTTACAGGTAAGACAATTCAAAAATGTTGAACATGATATCATTGATTAAATTACTACTAAGACATAAGCACCTATTATATTTATAAGACCTGTCTAATGTGCTTTGTAAGTCATTTAAATCTAACACACTTTTATCTTTTATAATAATATTAAACTGGAGTTATTGAGGTGACAGGAATTGAAGTATCTTATTATCAGAATTAATACAGATTTTCATTCTGCTTATTTCCTCCCATGCATACAGATTTTTTTAAAGATATTTACCGAACTTACTTCCTGATATGGAGACAGACTCATAAATGAAACCAAGCATCTAGATAACCAAAAACAGCCAAATATAAGAACATACAGATGTATATTTCAAAGATTTATGCAAGTGACACTTTTTCAGTGTGTGTCCTATTCAACATCTTTCTGAATCTCTCATTGTTAAAATTATCTTCATAAACTCATTAACAGTGACTGTCAGTAATATTGAAGTCCTATTTTGCACATGCCCTAATTGATAAATAGTTGTTTATTAGTCATTCTTGTATTTCACACAAAATTTAGCATTCAGATGATTAATTTCATAAGCTTTTACAGTTTTTATTAAAATTCTTTATCTTTCAAAAAAACAATAATCTGGTATTAAATTAAAGTAGCTAGTTTTTCAGATTTTTGTCGTTGCAAGCAAAGTATTCCAAAAATGGTGAACTCTTCTCAAGCCACTGGCACATCAGGCAAATGATGCTAGACCTGAATTTTTGTAGACCAATAGGAACAATATAGTGACCATCTTTACTTCCCTGGATATTTTCTTGGAATCCATTTTAGGGTGGGTTAACCTAAGGGCCCAGATAATTTATTTAAAAATCTTCAGTGATGTGGAATATAAACCAAGACCTTAAATTTGGATGGCAAGAGTCTTGCCTCTGTAGTAGCAGCGCTTCCAAAACCAGTTTTTTTAATTAAACTGAAAGATAACAGGGAGGCGTAATAATTGTAAAGTTTATATAAAGTTACTGTATTTGATTCTTCCTACCATGTTTACCTCTAGGTGATGACGATCACATTGTTATTGCCACAAGAGGTGGTCCAGGAAAATATCAGGTGACTGGGTGGCTGCAGATTGAACACCTGTTGAAACGTCACGAAGGGGACTACACATGTATTGCAGCCAATGAGCTCAAGGAAGACAGGGCCAAAGCTAGGATTAAGGTAGCCAACTAAAAAGTAAGAAATGAGCTTTCCATTTATGTTTTATGTTATATTTGTGGCAATTCAAACAACTAAAACATTGATATTCTTGTTTAAAGATGACATCTGCATTCATTAAGATTATAATCTTTAAGAAATACACTGTGTAATGAACAGTCCTTCATAAACATTAAGTAAGTAACACTTAATGGATTAATAAACTTTGTACATTTGATCTGAACATAGTAAAGAAACCTGCCTATTGATTTTATCTTACAAGGTTTTTATACTGTAATTCCCAAGTGAAAGACTGAAGTCGAGAGGATTGACTTCATTTCACGCAGTAAACGTCGTCGCATAACTACTACTCCCGTCATAGTTAATGAGTCGTCAGGGAACGACGGGCAGGGTATACCTCACTTGCCCGGAGAGGCCCATGACGTCGACTACAGAGGCGCACGTTTTGATGATGCCTGAAGAAGTGCGTTCAAAGGTCAGGTTTCCACCTGCGAGCGACAAGGTGTCCTGGTGTAAGTTGGAAGTTACGCTATGTGAGAAATTAAATCATGATTTAAAGAAAAAGTCGCTAGGTTATAAGCTTACAGCGTTTGGTAATATAATATATGAGTACTGTTCCTGCGAGTTCCGGCGTCAAGCAAAATAAAAGCAGGAGACAGAGAGACATTCTGAAGTGCAGGGCAGAAAAAAACGCACTCAGAAAACGGTTCATAACTGCTACAGGCAGCGAGCAGGAGGGGCTGTACGAGGTCTGGTTGCACCTGAGAGCCAGACACAGTGCCCTCTGTTGTGCTGAGCATTTCTGTAACAACAGACGGAGAACCAAAAGGGAGCTAGAGAAATTCTTTAGGGACCCATTCCGGTTTGCCCGAGGTCTGTTCAAGCAACCGAAGTCTGGGACTCTGGTGGTCGGTAAAGAGGAGCTTGAGTCACATCTATGCAAGATGTACTCAGATAGGAAAATGAGCCTTTCGATGACAACAAAGAGATCCTTAGCGGCCTGAGTTGCCGAAGGTACCATTTAAAATGATACCTCCCTCTTGGTCTGAGGTTGAAGAAGTTGTGAAAAGAGCTAGCGGCAAGTCCGCCCCAGGGCCGAATGGTGTTCCATACGTCGTGTACAAGCGTTGTCTGAAAATCCTCTGAATGCTTCACCGCTTGCTGAGATTAGCGTGGAGCCAAATCACAAATGCTCCGAGTGGCAACGGGCCAACGGGGTCTACATTCCCAAGGAGCAAGACTCAATGAATCTATGCCAATTCAGACCTATTTCACTGTTGAATGTTGAGGGCAAAATTTTCTTCTCGGTTATGGCTCGCCGGCTCACACAGTATCTGATGGCGAACAAATACATTGATACGAGTGTTCAGAAATGTGGAATCCCAGGCGTCCCTGGGTGCCTTGAACATGCGACCATGATCTGGGAGTCTATTCAGAGAGCCAAGCATGAGAGAACTCAGTTGTATGTGATATAGTTGGACCTTGCCAACGCCTATGGGGCAGTTCCCCATAAGCTACTGTGACAGGCCCTTCGCATGTTCCACGTACCGACATAGATCAACGAAATGATCGAGCAATATTTCTCAAAGTTCGCTTTGCACTTCTCTACCCTGACGTTTACTACGAGATGGACTGAGCTCCAGGTTGGGATAGCTATAGGATGTACGATCTCGCCAATACTGTTCGTTATGGCCATGCAGGTCATGTTAGACGGGGCGGCTGGCTACGGACAGGGCCTTCAGATTGGGGACAACTGGATGCCGCCACTAAGTGCATTTATGGATGACACGACTATAATCACAGGCAGTGAGGAGTGCTCGCACGATTCTGAAACAATTAAACAATGTAGTCCAGTGGAGCGATATGCAGTTCAAATCTGCTGAAGTCAGGGAGTCTGTCAATCCTGAAAGGTAAGGTGGCGGCGATCAGTTTCACGGTGGCAAGGAATCGGATCCCTGCGGTTCTAGAGAAAACGGTGAAGAGCCTTGGTCGCGTTTACGATTCAAAGTTATCTCCAATTTATGTTGATCCCAAAGCTCCGCTGGCCGCTGCTCGTCTACGAAGTGACGATGACGGCAGTGGAGGCAATGGAGCATAAAATCAACACAGCCATGAAGAAATGGTTGGGAGCACCACCTTGTCTGATTGATGTGGCTTTGTATTGTAAACAGACGAAGCTGGTACTACCGTTCAAATCAATAACCGAAGAGTTTAAAGTTGACAAAGTAAGACTCGTGATGATGTTGCGAGAGTCTTCAGACCCCACTGTCACTGCTGTCTAGCCCTCTCTTAAGACAAGTGTCAAATGGAAGGTCCTAGATGCGATTGAATATGCCCAAGATGCACTGAAATTGAGAGACGTGATGGGTTACACTCAAACCGACCATCGAGGCCTAGGGCACGGGCAAGTCAGTTGGTGGTCCAAAGCCACAGCCAAAGAGTGCCGTGACATGGTGATAAAGTAGATTAGGGACACCGAAAACAAGGTTCAGGTCCAAAAAGCCACGCAACAGTCACAGCAAGGCAAGTGGATCAGCCTCGAGAGCTCCTTGCCATGAGTACTCACATGGGGTGAGATCTGGCAAACAGCCCCGCTGCGACTGAGCTTTATCGTGCGATCTGCCTATGATGTATTACCGTCTGGTGTCAACATGGTCAAGTGGAGTGCGAGTAACGACCCGACATGCCCACTATGTCTGCAAGCAGGAAAGCCCCAGGGTGAGGGTAGATTTACGTGATACCACGACAAGGTCCTGAAAGAGTTAGTGGCCGTTGTGGACCAAGCTAGGATGAGAGCCAATGTGAGGGCCAGTCCTATCATTGTCCCCATGTGCTTCCTCAAGGCTGGGCAGATTTATAAAGGTAAATACAAGGTCGTATACGCTCCATCGATGCTCGACTGTGCGAGGGACTGGTTACTGGCAGTTGACCTGCCTGGTCACAAAAAGTATCCAGAGTTAATCCGGAAGACTGGCCTGCGACCTAACATAGTCCTACACTCTGCGGAGAGACGTTAGCTCATCTTGATCGAGCTGACCGTGCCGTATGAGTTGCGAATGGACGAAAGCCACATGTACAAGCTCGAGAAGCACAGTGAGTTAGCGGATGGTCTGAGGAGAGACGAAGCGTACACAGTAAGAATCTTCGCCGTTGAGGTAGGAGCAAGAGGTCTTGTTTCCACTTCTATGTACAATGTGATTAAACAACTGGGCTTGCGAGGAAATGGGCGCAAAGGATCACTAAAACAAGTGGGTGAAGCTGCGAAGAGGGGCCTCGAGCTAGCTCTGGACACAACGGAACGTCGTGGGGGATGGGCCTCGGTGAGCTGGTCTGGGTATCTAGTGGAAAAGAAAGTCTTATCCCTTAAAGTCTATTGTGTTCGAATTGTCTGCTGGTGTCCCTCTGCCAACAAAGTCCAACATGTGTCCGATAAATCAACCGTAAGCTTGCCACTTGGTCGTCCAGGTATGCTGACTGCTCTAATTATGCTACCGCAGTGACAATGTAAATACACTTCGAATCTCACAGTACCTTTTGCACAGTCACCAATTTCATCTTGTCCCTGTCGAGAACCTCCGGTAATACGTGCAGGAGGAGCAGATCAAACCTGAGCTTCATAAACTCAGGGGGGCCCACTCTCTGAAAATGTCTAGGAACTCGTGGGCCGAAACATTTGTCGACGAGAGATTACTTCTACTGATGATTGTAGACTTCTGCTGTACATGCTCCCCTGTGGAGTTTCTTCTTATCATTGCACCAGGTTTTATTCCTTTTGGTTCGGTCTCTCTCCAAAGACCAGCGAGCCACCTGCCGAGAATGTCACATGGAGCATGAGCTCTGGCGATGATCTCTAGGAATCTCGGTAAGATTTACTGTCATGAACTAAATGACACAGCCATTCAATGAACCCATAACCTTCATAGCATGAGGCAAATGGCTTGACCACTTCGCCACAGAGACCCTAAGTTCACCAGGTATAAGAAGATCTGATATATGACATGCACTTTAATTTTGGGAGTGGAAATTCTGAACAAATAATATGAATACATAAAGTTATTGAACTAATGTTTTTATGCATCATAGAATCCAGAAAATTTCTCATCACTGTCAACATTTTCATCCATATGATAGTTCTTTAGCTTGTCCTTGTCTGTGTTTGATAGTGAATGAATCACTGTTTTCATATATTGCCTCATCATCAGTTCTGGCTATCCTCCGAATAACGGCCACATATTTTTAGGGCCACAAAAACACCCTAACAGGGCCTCAGTCACATGTATATTGCGGACTTCCTGCAACTTAAATTGCGCACTTCCGGTGACTACCGCCACTGCTGAGAGTATCTCCCACGCCACTATGCGCGGCGTGGATTGGGGCTAAACTAGATGGCTGGAACTCACGAGCATCAGCTTCCGCATCTTCTGCAGCTTTGCTTTTGAGTCCCAGCCATCTAGTTTAGCCCCAATCCACGCCATGTGTAGGGGCGTGGGAGATACTCTCGGCGGTGGTGGTATAGTCACCGGAAGTCTGCAATTTACATGTGACTAAGGCCCTGTTTTTGGCTGCCATAATATGTGGCCGTTACTCAGAGGATAGCCTCAGTTTCATATGTGCCATTTGAAATGCCAAACTTTTTGAATTACGTGACAACCGCGAATCACCTGCTAACTGCAGTTTACTAAGGATATTTAATGCTGGGGTTCAGCCAACGATTCCTGTTTTCCATCATTTTGGTCCCCTGGGTCAGTTTAGTTGAACGAGCCTGCTCTAGTTGGTTTCTTCACACTACCTGCTGGTGTAAAATTGTCCCCAGAAGACTTCATCAATTTGTTACATTTGTCTTTCATGGCAACTTTAAAGCATTTATTAATGTTGACATCAAGTGGTTGATTCTTGGTGGACACAGCAATTCCTAGTTTAACAAGTGTGAAACAGCAAGCATAAAGACAAGCACAAAACTATTACAGTGGGAAAGAACTTGGAATTGTATCCTTTTTATTCTCCATTTTATGTTG